CAGCTTCATGATACAATGTTGATTGATTGAATTGATTTTTAAAAATAAAATTACAGGTGATATTTAGTGTTTATTGCATAAATAAGATTAACAAGTTTTCTTTGCATTTCAGTTTTACGAGTTTGGGAGTTTTTTTCTCTCACAAATATCATGTGCACAGTTTAAAAAATATCCTCTGGGCATGGAGTTTGTGCATTCTTTTTGGCAATAAATCAAACAAGGGCTAGATATAAGATATTGGACATAAAGCAGTAGATTTAAGTAATTAAAAGCAAAAAGTATTTGTAAATTAACATGTACAAAACATTTAAACATTTGAAGTAATCAAGTGAGGCGTATAAGTGGCAGGATATGAGCTGATATTCAAGATGGCTAAAAACATAAGGTATGAAATTTGTTACCTGTCAATTTAATTTTGCTTTATTTAAAGAAAACCAGCATTGAGTGGAAAGGAATAGTTTTGTGATAACACTTCTTTCAAAGGGTATTCATGGGGTCTAATTTAGTATTGAAAATTTATTAATGTGGCAGGATGAATTTTAGGGAAACCTTGATTTTTTGCTGGAGCAATAGAGCACCTGGTTTAAAATTGACCCAATCACAAGGCATTTTTTAGAAGGGTTTCCCTTTTCAGTGCCTAGGATTAAAAAAGAACGCAGTGGCTTGCAAAAATTTCTTTTCTTATTAGGTTTTTTATAAAAAGTATACTGGAAAATATTTGGCTGGGGTAAAAAACCCTGAGGGGTCAAAAAGGAAAAGGTGTTTATTAGAATATATTGACTCTGCTGGTTGTTATTGGCTAGCCCCTGATTTTGGTTTCTTGCTTCCCCCTTGTTGCTGTCCAACTTTTTCACTTTTTTGTTGAATGTGTTTTGCTAATTTTTCTGTACTAAAACTCTTACAGCTAAGAGGGTGTGTTTAGTAAACAGAGGGACTCTAGCGCAAAGAAACAGTCTGACAAACCCTGAAGACGGCACCGAAAAAGTAGGTCATTTGGTCTTGTAGTAATATATAGCACACTAGAGCAAATATAGAGTTTTCTATGGAGCACTGTTTGTATTAGAATTGATAGAAAAAAAACAGATTTTTTTTTTTACACCATGGGCTGGAATTGTGAATAAAAGACATAAAGGAAATATAATAAAATAAGAGATGACTGGCACAAACATATTTTCAAGAAACATTAGCTTTGTTGTTTCAAAACATTTGGGAACTTCTCCCAAACTTTAAGGGCGGGAGACTCCCACTTTCTGCAGCCATAATTTTCAAAGATTTTTCTTAAAATAATGGGTGTTTTTGCAAATTGAAGAAATCTCCCTCTTTTTTGGTGTCAGCACTTTCTTCTTTGTTTATTGCAAATTCTAAAATCTCCCACTTTTTGATGAAAAAATCTCTCACTTGATCATCAAAAAAAAAAGTTCACATGTATGGTTGTTCAGGAAGGAGTCTATTTTACAAAAAAAAACATGTCAAATACCTGGCTAAATAGCAATTCCTACCATTTTTGAAAACACTAATACATTGTACATGTTTTCTTTAGAGATTATGACTTAGATGTTTTCTTTTAAGATTAAGTCTTAGACATATTAAGACATAGAATGTCCTTTTTTATATCTCCACAGCAAATTTTTTTGTCTTCTAGCTGTCACTACTTAATTCCAAACTTTTTTTGTAAGGTTCAATATTCTGTATTAAAGTTTTTCTTTAGGGTTATAGGGTTTTAATTGGTCTTGTGTCTTTATCAATTTTTCATAGGATAATAAAACAAGTAATGGACTAGTATACACTGTAGATATCTTCACATATATAATATCTATGTAACCTAATGTAGTCTAAACATTATAATTATATAGATCCCATTTATTCACATAACAATTCTATATCTATATAGTGGTTTATTATATCTCACAGCCATTATTATTATTTCTAAAGCACTATATATGGCATTGTAGTTTGTTTCTTAAAGATAAATAGTATTGTTTTACCATAGTAAAAATAGTCAAAGTCAAGTCTCGGAGTCTAATACAACTTTACAGTAAAGGTCAAAGTTGAAGGTCAAATTTGAAATAAGTTACTACATTGCTGACTTTATAATATAATCATTATTGAGTTAATCTTCTAACTGAAGATTATCAATTGTTTCAGTAACAAACAGATACAATAAGTGTTTGCTAAAATAACAGGTCACCATTTATCTTTTTTGAAAGTAATCCAGGTCAAGGTCAGAAAAGGTGAATGATATGTTAGTTAGCCAAGTTATTTTCGACTAATCAGTATGATGAAGGTAGTGAAATAGCATTGAGGTAATTTTGAATCTCAAAGCACACTGTTTTAGCTTATTTCTACTTTTAATTACATGTATATTTTTATTTTTTTTCATCTATAATCCCCCAAATAAACTAGACTTACCTTGAGTCGACGTTTGGTTGGGATTCTATGTAGTCATACAGCAACTGGAGGGATCAAATGAAGATGTGCGCATACCGTGACCGAGAACATTCCAGTATTTAAAGCATTAAGCAAAAATAATTTTTTGCTTCAATAAAATAAAAAACTAAATGCAAAATGCATTAAAGAATGTGTCACACACATTCAGGGAGGGATGGGCGGGCATTTTTGATCCCTCCAGTTGCTGTTATGACTACATAGAATCCCAACCAAACGTCGACTCAAGGTAAGTCTAGTTTATTTGGGGGAATTCTATTACGTCATATACCAACTGTCCGTCTCAAATGAGACTTTAAAGCAAAAAAGCAAAAATTTTTTTTGCATGTAAACACAATTGAACGGAAAAAATAAACATTCACATAACCAACACGATTCATTCCGTCAATCCTGTGAACACTGCAGTTTCGTAAAGACTATCTTTAATAGGTTTATCGTAGTATTTTGCAAAAGTTGCTTTCATTTGACCAAAACCTGCTACTTTCATGATTTCTTTAATTGGAATTCCAAAACATTTAGCTCTTGATACAGATGCTCCTCTTATACTATGAGATTGAAATCTTTTAATGTCAATGCCTGATAAAAACATAACTGATTTTTAGCCATCTACTTATAGTTGTAGAAAGTAAACAGCTTTATGTGGTTTCATATAACTGACAAAAAGTCTTTTGATTCACTTCCTCGAATATGTTTAGTCCTGTTTATGTATTCAAGAAAAACACTATACACACATAACCTCCTATCTGGAGTATATTTTTTCAAATTGAAGAACTGGATTATCTCTGCCTTTCTTTAGACTGTTTTAATAACCGCGCAATATTGTACAGTAATTGAATCCTGATCTTGCCTTAGACCATCAATAGTTATTAAACTTAATGAATGAGACCGGTGCCGACTTGCTTGAGTCAGAGCTATTAACATAGCTAACTTCCAAGTTAGCTGTTTCAAAGACAACCTATCTACTGGTGACAATGTCTTTAAATAACACAGTACCTTTGAAAACATCCCAAGTTTCATTATATTTACTTTTTGGTGGACATAAATTAAACACACCCTGTCATAAATTTAACCACTAAAGGATGAGCACCTGCTGTAAAACCATCTTCAGTAATACATAATGAAGATAATGCACTTCTAAGCTGTATTTAGAACTATCATACTTGTAACCCGAATGGAATAAATCTGTCAAAAAACTTATAATATTGTCTACAGTAACTTGAAATTTATCAATTTTCCTTTTACTACAGAATTCCACCCATTTGTGGATATACGATGAATATTGTTTTTTGGTGGAATGTCTCCACGATGCCATGATGATGTCGGTAGACTCTGATGAAATCTGTCTACTTTGGAACAATTCCCTGACAAACGACATACCATTAAGTGTAGATGACCTACTAGTGGATGAACTTTCTTTGTATTTGGCAGAATAAGTGTGTCTGTAGTCACTTTCCAAAACATAAGGTACTTTCTAATAACAACTGCATTACTGCTGGATACCAATACTGTGTTATCCAAAGAGGTCCACCAGTATCATTTCCCCTTTGTCTTCTCTCAGTTTTCTGTACTGTTTCGACCAACTAAACTGAAAGGAGGAAATGCATAAATTAATACATCTGACCAACACAAAGAAAATGCATTAATTGCCTCCGCTTCTGGATCAGGTTTCCAGGAAACAAATCGAATCAACTTGTTTATTCAATCTAGAGGCAAACATGTCAATTATTGGCACTTCAAATAATTTTACAATTTGTTTAAAAATATTTCTGTTAAGTTGCCATTCAACATTTTCATTGAAATTTCTACTTTGAAAATCTGCCTCATTGCTAATACCTGGAATGTGTGTAGCAGAAAGCCATATTTTTTTATGCCCCCGCCATGTAATTCCGGGCATATTTTTACCCGTTCCGATTTTATTCCCACCTTTTTCCCTTATTTGCCTCGTAATTCTGTATTAAATTTTCAGATTCTTTTTTAAGAAAAGGTTTGACACATTCAAAATCTAACAATCCTAAATATGGATTCGAAGGGGCATCATCCTATGTGTTATCCCCGCCAAGGGTATCCCTGCAATTTTTGGTCTGGACATTTGTATTTGATGATTACTTTGAAATCATGGGGATGCCCATTTAAATGATTCAAGAAGTAATATGAAATTTTGAGTTATTCCTTTTTATTTTTCCCAAAATTAATTTTGCCCCGAGCATACTCAAAACCATTATCAAAATGAAACTCTGGGCATGATCTCACTCATGGGTTGCATGACAAAAAGATAATTCCCATAATTTTTTGAGTTATTTTGCGTTTGTTATTTTTCTAATTAATTTTTGTGTACTTGTTAAAATACATATGAATAATTTTGTTCCGGCGTGGTCCCCAAGTTTCCCGAAAACTCGACACAAGTTATTAAATCAAAACTTGGTATGGATTTTCTAAAAAATAAGGTCAAATTCAAAGGCCGGTTCTGATTTTTAATTTTTGGAGTTTATTTCCCTTTTACTTTCATATTTAAATTTTTTGTCCGGCATTTCTCCCCAACTATAAAACCTATTAAAATAAACTTCATAAATATAACTCATAGGAATGCAGTGGGAAAGAACGGGTAATTTATTTCCCAATTTTTGGTCATTTCCGTTCATTTATTTTTGGCCGGCCATTTTCTCCTAAACCTTATTGTTTACAGGTGACACATTCCGAATTGGAGTTCTAGTTTCCCCTATGGGTAACTCAAAAGGTTGAGAAAGTCAACTGAAATTTCATTATGGATAGGATTTTTAAAATTAAGAATGCCTGGTTGCAAGAATGGTAAATCTTCGGCAATAAATTTTTGGGGGTTATTTCCCTTTCCTTTTATAATTATTTTGTTTCCGATTATTCCCCAAAGTAACTTCAACTAAAATTTCATAGGTATGGATTTTGGAATGCAGGCCAATTAATTTTAAAAATTTTAATGATTTTTTGGGAGAGTTATTGCCCCCTTTTTTAAAAATTTTTAAAATTTTAATTTTTTTCCCAAATTTAAACCAAAGTTTAATATTAACATGAAATTTTCATGGTTTTATGATTTCAGGGGATGTCCCTCACAAAAATATAAACTCTAAAATAATTTTTTGAATTTTGTTTGGTTATTTTTCAAAAATTAAATTTTTTCCCCAAGTTTGGGAAAATAACTTTCAGGTTTAGATTTAACTTTTAATTTTGGTCAAAAATGGAAAAGATTTTTTAAAAGGTTAAAAATGAAAAATTTTCAGCCTTAAAATTTTGAAAATTTTTGTTTTTTTCAGGGGTTCTAAAAAGATTATATAATTAAATTCCCCCAATTGGGAAATTTTCTAAGCGGGGGATTGCAGCAAAACAAAAATTCCTAAAACCCGCCCTCCCAAATTGATTTTAACCACTTTTTTTTGTCTTCCATTACAAATACCTGCCCAATTTGGGGTCCAACTACAAAACTTGCCATCCGTCCGTTGTAATAGTCAAATCTGGATTGCCATGACTAATATGTCTTTTTTTCGGTGGCTAGATTGTCAATCCACCACTTAAGTTCTCCCTTCATTTCATCCGATATAATCATATATGCATTGTAATTTCCTTTATTTTGCTTTAATGCCAAAATTTTTTCATTTCTCAATTTGTCTATAAAACAAAGGACCATTTTTCTACAGCTGAAAAGGTAGAAATCATAAGGCCTATAACCCTCGCAACTTGCTGAATTTTTTCCTTTTTCTGTCTATACAACACTTTGCATTCTTGGACAACTGTTTTGAACTTTATCCAACGGTTTAAAAGTAACAATCATATTGATGGAATCAATATCATTTCCCAAAAATGTAATTTTATTAGTTGGGATAAGAATAGATTTCTGGGGATGAACAATAAACCCTAATTTCCCCATCAAATTAACTGTATCTGTTATATTCAGATGACATTCATCACATGTATCTCCAAGAAGCAGAGAATCATCAATAAACCCTGAATTAACATGTCCAAGCATGCGAAGTGATGCATAAACTGGCTTCATCAACTTTGTAAAAATTCTTGGGGCACAAGAAATACCATTAGGCAGGCATACATATTGAAAAATTTTCCCATCTTTTTGAAATCTTAACTTAACTTGTTGTTCCTTAGCTATGGGAACTGAATAATATGCATGTCTTAAGTCTACACTTGCAAAGAAACAATTAGGTTTTACCAGTTTAAGGGCAGACTCTTCAAATGTCTCCATTTTAAAATGATGATAAACAATACTCTCATTTAATAATTTAGATTTAATATCATTCTAAACTCGTCATTCTTCTTTTTGAAATACTAAGAAAATTGGAGAAAATAAATTCATTTTCATGATGATCACTTCAATCAAAAACTTTCATATCAATCATTTTATTTATTTCTTGATCAATAATTTTACTTTTCATTTTCACTGAAATTATTCCTTGTACATACGTAATTGACAGGATCATGCCCTTCTAAAAATTCAATATGACAATGCTTAACTATGTCTAATATATTTTCATCACTTGTCAATTTTCTCCAATTTTCTTCAAATAATTTCAATCTACCTGCCTGAAAAAATATTACTAACTGATTTACTTGTTCTTGTAACAACGGGAGTTTTTTTGGTGAACCACTGAAGAACCATGACCTGGCCTAAAATAACCTCTGCCAGTACCACGAGAAAACATGCCTGGCCGACCACTACGTCTTCTACCAAACGGCCTAAATGAAGGATTTCTTCCAACATCTCTACCAATTTTACTAATGTCCTGGATATCCTTCACACTTTTGTTAATATCATCACCATACAGGTTTTCTGTAAACGGTAGGCTTGCAGAAAGTCAAAGGGTAATATCGTGGATCTAAATCCGAACGATGACATTCCTTCCTCTTGTTATTAATGAGTTTGTTGGACTGCCCCAACAAAGCAAGGGCATTTGTGCCCCATTCAATTGACTGGGTATCTAATTTTTCCCCTTCTTTATCCAACAATTTGGTAATGTTTATAGCAGCTTTCACAACAACATTTTGTATGGCTTGAAATTTCACATCATCAGACTGTGATTGGGGTTTCAACAAACGCCATATGCAACCGTTCACCTTAGTTTTCACCAATGACTCACAATTAACGGGTCTGTGAATTTCTTTAACAATGTTTGACAAAGAATCATCAGCAATACCATTGCGGAAAGAATTGTTTACAAAAGTAGCAAGATCGTCATTTATTTCAGTGTCACATTTTTCCACACTCTGAAATTTGTCACACAAATTCCTAAATATGTCACTTTCATTACAAACCCTCTTGCGTGGTGGCTGGGAATCTTCACCAGACTCGCTGACATTGGACAAGACGCTGTGACTGTCAGAAAACCCATCATTACAACTGTCGTCAGGATAACAATATTCATCATATTCAACATATAAATCGTCAACCCTTTTTGATAAACTTTCAAGTTTAGAACCTTGTTTTGTTACGTTAGTGTTTAGTTCTTGCAAAATTTTAATGACTTCGTCATTTATTTTCTCAGGTGGTTGACTTTTCTGAGTGGACACTTTACCACGAGACTCATTTTTACGACCCTCGGACGCAACAGATTTACTAGACGACAACAATTTATCAGGTTGTTTATCGACATCTTTAGTCATGTTAGAACCAGATGTTCCTTGATTGATTACTTTTCTTCCCGATGTAGAGGCATCCGCCATCTTGAAAAGCACATGGAATGAAAATCTCAAAGCCGAAAGAAAAAACTGAAGTTTATGCCTCGCATAAACAAATATATCAAGAAAAGAAATTAAATTGATACTGTAAAAATACAATATCTAATTTATCAGAAAATATGAAAATAAAATAGATTAACCGCGTTAATCTAGGAATAGAGATTATAACTCTCGGTCTAATAAACGAACCACGTCCGTTCGGTACGGTATCAAAATGCGTACTGAATGTTCTCGGTCACGGTATGCGCACATCTCATTTGAGACGGACAGTTGGTATGACGTAATAGAATGATGTTTTGCTATCTATAATTTTTGTGTGATTTCATAACACAAATGTAATGAACTTTACCTGCTTTGTATTTAGAATTGTCTTTTTGTTAGAGATTTCAATATCAAAATTTGCTACCTGGATATATTGTGAACAGAATGTGGTTGGACTGAATTATATGCTACATGTACTTTGCTGGCCAGGCTTGAAGTACTGTGGCTTGAGCAAGCCAGTTTTGCCACAGGAATGTTAAGTTAAGCATGTAATCTGAACTTTTATACATGTAACTTGCACATCCATCTGTTTTAATGTATTTTATACAAAATTTGGTTACCAATTTAAGGTAAGTGCTTGTCTTATGATTAAGAATGAAAGTTAATTAAGTAAGCAGTTAATGCGGTCTAAATGCTCAGAAAACATAAACTTGAAAAATGTTACATAGATCAGCAGATTCACCAGGGACAGTAAAATAAATGGGGGGATAATTGAAAAGATATCAAAGAAACACACTCAGAATTTAATTGTATACCAGTACACAATGAGTTAAAAACCATTGAACAGTTAGAAGTCATTTTGCACAGTAAAATTATTATTATGGAAAAAACAAGTGAGCAAAACAGATTTGTAACTTTGCAAGCATGTTACTTAGAAGAGATCTACATTAAAATATAAAAAAAAGATGTTAAAAAAAAAAAATTTAGTCTTTTCTTGTCTTGTCAAAAACCGCAATGGGTCCCTTTTATAATACATAGTATTGCATTTACTGATATACCGTCTGCTAATTGTCTTGTAAAAAAATGATGACATTCTGCAGGCATCTTCAAATCAAGGAGAAACAGTATTGAAAATAAACATATCAACTGAATTAATTATTTTTGCCTGTAAATTATGTGAATAATATTTCTGATTTATTTGATTTAGTAGATAAAACTTTGATAGGAATAGAAAGTTACATATTCATTAAAATATGACCTAGACTTAAATAAATTTGTGATGACACTTGGACAGTCTCTGCCATTAAAGTTAATAACATGCCTGCATTACTTACAAAATTACTTACCGTTTTATATTCAAAAGTTGTCAGTCAGTTAAGAGTTAACTTGACTGGTTCTATATTAGAGTTCAGTTATGTGAAAAAACTTACATCTTTGTTAATTTAAGAAAATGGTCCAGTCTAGACTCTGAAAATTGATTTAACATTAGAATATTCTTGAAATAAATTAGTTTTAGAACTGAGGCAACTTTATCTCAACAGGCAGCTAGCTGCAAAAAAATTATCAACTTTGTTAAAAATGTTATGTTTTTAAGCTTTGTTAAAGCAATTTGTTGTTGCATCAGAAATGAAGTAGACAGGAGGAATTATTTGATGATTTGAAATATTGCATATTAAATATAATTCAAGATCGGCAAAATCTGAATTTGATTGACACTTGTTCGTTTTTTCGAAAGTATTTTTTTAACATGTCCGTATGATATCTATATAGTAAATTCTTGAAAATTTCCACTTCGCACAGGTGCTGGGATGACCTTGGCAATACTGACAATTGATTTTGCCATCCCTGAATTAATGTTGACTTACCCAAAGACATTTTAAATGTAATTTTAATATACCCAAAGAAAGCTTTGTATTAACTTCCAGTTAAGTAAATCCTGAAATTATATTGAAATTTTCATAGAATATTAGCAAGCCAAAAAAAAAGTTTTGTGATTTGAAAAATATTACACAATGTTTTAAACTTATTATAAATTTATATCATTGATTATTAATGTGGAACAAGTGACATGGGATTTTATCTTTCTTATTAAAGTCAGTTGAGCCAATCCAGGAGACTACATTGTTGTTACATTTCTTTGGAAGACGAGGAAACGATGTACTCAAATATGAAGACTTTCACACGTAAGTGTTTTCTTGCTGAACCACAGCTTGCCATTTATACTAATGGTTGTCAAATGCTTACATTTTGAAATTTTAAAACTAGCAGTAGACAGTACCTGATCATAGGATATATAGAATAGATAGAGCTGCTGTCTGAATATCATCTTAATTCTGTCGAAAAACAACAACATAGAAGTGTACCATTGGTACTACATTTTGTATTTTGAAATATATTGAAAGTATTTTAGCAAACTTGTCATCTGTTTTAATGCTGACATAAATAATTTCACCGCTTAAGGTTCAAGCCCCATGAGTGTCTTCCGATTCTTTCATGTGAGAATGCCATCCAACAGCTTACTGAATGTCAGTGGTTCTACTCAGATTCCTGAGATAATGCACAGAGGGGCACCTGCATGATGCCATCCTCCACTTGTAAAGCTGGAAAGTCGCCATAGGACCTATACAGTGTTGGTGCAACATAAAACCAAACCAAAAATTTCATAATAGCATAATGTCAATGTCAGAAAGGAAGCAAATCATGTATGTATGAATGGTTGATAGTGCACTTTAATTTTTTCGTCACAGATTTATGACAAACTTACAGAGTGAGGTGATAGAGTTGGAGTTTCTAGAGTTTTCTAAAGGTATGCAGACAATATCGGAGGAAGATTTTGCACACATTCTCCTACGTTACACAAATCTTGACAAGCTTGAGATAGGTGAATGTATCAACAGAGTAAAAGAAAGGATGCCTGTAGAAAAGGTAATTTTGGTAGTTTGTTAAACAGGATTTGGGTAATTTATATTGTATTTTGGATAATTTTGGTAAAATTGTAATAAGGTTCTAAAAGTTCTTATTTGGTGGTAAAATTGTTTTTTAAGGGGGGGGGGGGGGGGATATTACCAATTGGAACTCTCTAGCACAAAATTTCAAGGTGAGAATTTCAGACTTGTTTAAATTGAGTCTGTTCATGATAGATAATGAAAAGTTTTATTACTGTTCCCTCCACAGTGAAGTGGTGATCTTGTGGTAACGCAATCCGCCTTTAAACTCATGGATAATTGGTATGAGTTGTGGTGATATTCAACTTTTCATGCCCCCACTTAAAAAATGTGGAGCATACTGTAATGGGGTGGTCTGTGCTCATAATTATTCTTGGCTGATCAGTAACTTGAGAAGCCAGGGTTGAACTTGCTATGGGCATTGGCCATGTCTAGTAGATTACTGCTATTGATTTTAAGTTTGTTAGATCAAAAAGTCACTGTCACAGTCACTCTTGAAGTAAAGTCATTGTCCAATCTATAACTTAGAAGGAATAAGCAGTGGTTGATGAAATATAGTAGGGTTATTTCCATGGCTATCGATTGTCAAAGGTCATGGTCACATTGACATATTGTGAAGTCCTTGTCTGATCAATTATTTTGAATCTAAAGTGGTAAAAATTGGTAGGATTATTGCCCTTGACCAATAAATTGTAAAATGCTATCAAAAGGTAAATGAGGTGGCAACATCAGTACTTGTTGGACACATTTCTTGTCGTTATGGGTTATTCAAAGGTTCAGGGAACTAATGTTTCACAAATAATTTAATTTATGAATTTATTTAATTTATTTAACTTCATAAAACACTTCTATAGAACTAGTTAAAATACAATTTAGTTAAATACATAGGCTTGGTGCGAAAGGGTTGTAACTCCTTCTTTATCTAATTTGAGTTACAACCCTTTCGCACCAAGCCCTCGAATTAGCCTATTTAAACTAAACAATCAGCATAGTGATAAATTATTACAATCAGCAAAGTAACAAATTATTTGATATTTATTTTGTAGCCTTCTGATGTAAGCCAGTATTACAATAAATATAACACCTTTATGTACATGTATATGGAAGCCTTTTTTCAGTGATGTTTGAACTTTGGCGCACCTGTTTCTATTTTTCTGTAGCTTTCAAGAATAAAACCACTCCCATAGAATAGCCTTGGCACTTGCAACTAGTTTAACTTGTGTAATGAATTTGCCCAGCTTTGAATTTGGAACAGTCCATTTGAAGTTTAAGAGACTTCAGTATCAAAATACAAAATTTGAGCTATCAACGGTTTAAAGCCAGATCTTACTATACAGATGTGCAAGCTGGCCTGACTCTATATTGGTAGCAAAGGTTAATCAGCTTTGAATGGTTCCTGCAGGGTAAGGGTGAAACTTGACTGTTCTTACTTACTCATTTGTCGGTGTTGGTATCAGTGGAACACTTGGTTAAAGTGTTACTTGCAAGTTCATATCTCATTAACCCTGTGTCCCTCTACTTTGAGGGTCACTTTCCAAGACCTTTAAGTCTTTGACTGAATAAAAATGATTTTTCAATTATAAAATCCTGTTTTATGTTAAGCTTGCAAGATTTATTTCACAACTACTGAAGGTATTTTATTTAACTTAACAAATGTCTTCATGGTCAATAACCAATTATATATATTAAACTGAGTTCCTACCACCATTATCGAGGCTTTTGTTATGCTACATGTATTTTAAGCAATGAGAATAGTTGAGAAAGTTGACCTTTTGGCTGCTCTTCTTGTGGACTATATGCTTAGGTTATTTATACTTACCTATTTCAACCAATGGTTTATTTTGGCTTGTTCAGCTTTTTATTAAGACCAGCAGGATAAAAATTAAATAGAAGCTTTTGTGACGTTGTTTGTATAGGACTACCGTATTAGATATTCACCAAATAAGGTTTATTATAACATTGTTAAGTCTTTCTTTAATTCAACTCCTGTAACTTAATTTTGTAGCCTTAAGAAACTAACAGATAATTATGTATTAACATTTATAATATGTTACATCTCAAGGATTTCGACTAACAATAGACTGTATATAAAGCTGGGACACTTTCTAAATCCTTTCCTGATTATGTGTGTCTGAGTGCGCTTCTTAGATAGCTAGACTATTCTTCACAAAACTGTTAGTTCACTTGCACTAGGAAAAATTTACATTCAGCATTATTTTCATAAAATAAAGTTTAATATAATTATGATGTTTTATTAGCTCACCAGAGCCGAAGGCTCAGGGCGAGCTATTAGTATCAAAGGGGGATGCTCCGGCGTCCGTCGTCATGCGTCAACAATCGTCTTCTTCCCTGAAACTACTATGCAGATTTACTTCAAATTTGGTCTGTAGCATCCTTGTGACAGTCACACTTGAATTTGCTCATGTCATTCCAATTGGCCCCTTTTAGCAGAGCTAAAAATAGAAAATCCTTTAAACATCTTCTTCTACAGAACTAATGGATGGATGGTCACCAAACTTTGTCTGTAGCATTCTTGGGTAGTCTTTTATCAAGTTTGCTCATATGAATTTGATTGGCCCCTTTTAGGAGCCACTAAAGCTAAAAATAGAAATACTGTTAAATGTCTATTTCTAGAGAACTTATCAATGGATGATCACCAAACTTTGTCTGTAGCATTCTTGGGTAGTCTTTTATCAATTTTTGCTAATATTATTTCGATTTTCCCCTTTTAGGGGTCTCTAGGGCTAAAAATAGAAAAAAACCTTAAAACATCTTCTCCTACAGAACTAATTGATGGATGATCACCAAACTTTGTCTGTAGCATTCTCGGGTAGAATTTCATCAAGTTTGCTCATATTAATTTGATTGGCCCCTTTAAGGGGCCGCAAAAGCTAAAAATAGAAATACCTTTAAATGTCTATTTCTAGAGAACTAATTGATGGATGATCACCAAACTTTGTCTGTAGCATTCTTTGGTAGTCTTTCATCAAATTTGCTAATATTATCTTGATTGGCCACTTTTAGGGGCCGCAAAAGCTAAAAATAGAAATACCTTTGAATATCTATTTCTACAGAACTAATTGATGGAAGATCACAAAACTTTGTCTGTAGCATTCTTGGGTAGCCTTTTCATATTAATTTGATTAGCCCCTTTTAGGGGTCTCTATAGCTAAAAACAGAAATACTGTTTAATGTCTATTTCTAGAGAACTTATCAATGGATGATCACCAAACTTTGTCTGTAGCATTCTCGGGTAGAATTTCATCAAGTTTGCTCATATTAATTTGATTGGCCCCTTAAAGGGGCCGCAAAAGCTAAAAATAGAAATACCTTTAAATGTCTATTTCTAGAGAACTAATTGATGGATGATCACCAAACTTTGTCTGTAGCATTTTTGGGTAGTCTTTCATCAAATTTGCTAATATTATTTTGATTAGCCACTTTTAGGGGCCGCAAAAGCTAAAAAAAGAAATACCTTTGAATATCTATTTCTACAGAACTAATTGATGGAAGATCACAAAACTTTGTCTGTAGCATTCTTGGGTAGTCTTTTATCAAGTTTGATCATATTAATTTGATTAGCCCCTTTTAGGGGTCTCTATAGCTAAAAATAGAAATACCTTTAAATGTTCTTTTTCTACAGAACTAATGGATGGATGATCACCAAACTTTGTCTGAAGCATTGTTTGGTAGTCTTTTATCAAGTTTGCTCATATTATTTTGATTGGCCCCTTTTAGGGGCCGCTTAGATTAAAAATAGATACACTTTTAAACGTCTATTACTACAGAGCTTATTGATGGATGATCACCAAACTTTGTCTGTAGCATTATTGGGTAGTCTTTTATTAAGTTTGCTCATATTAATTTGATTAGTCCCTTTAAGGGGCCGCTAAAATTAAAAATAGAAAAATACGTTTAAACATCTTCTCCTACAGCATACATGTGACAAATGAAATGGGCCAAATCTGGATTTTCAGCTGGATTTTGAGGCTCAAAACTGGATTTATTTATCGACTCGAATTTCAATATGTGTTTGGCACATTTGGTTCAAAGAATCTATATTACCCTCAAAATCATTAAATGATTATACTTTTTATGATTTTTTTGTGGATCAATATTAATTTATTTCACCAAAAAAAAATAAAAAAATACATAAATAAATACAGGCTATTTCAAAACAGTCACATTTTCACATTTCATTATTTTCAGTTTGAAGAATTATATCTGTCTTTCCAGTCATTCAATAATTGGCTAATAATTTAAAACAAGCTATTTGAAAACGTACAACAACTATTCATGAACATAAGACTCTGACAGTTAAATAACGTAACATAAGTAGAAGACTCAAAATAAATGCAAGAATCGTTCCGTTAATTAAATCCACATTTTTGCCTGGATGATAGTGTAATTCCTAAACAAAACAAAAAAATTACCCACTCACTAAAAATAGGTTAATTACACATCTCAAACAGGTTTTTGAATGATCCACTTTAAATGATTCTGCTCACCTTTTATCTTTATCAGTGCGGCACTAATCAAAAGGTTGAGCCAAATTCATACATGTAAATTTACAGGGTAGTTTTGATGACGTAGCGTGTAATACCTACTGCCAAATTACAAAAGAGGTCAATTGATTGACACACGACACGTGATAAGTTAAACATGTGAGAATATCTTTGGGTATAGGAACTGTTTATTACGTCACCTTGCTGTCAATTTGTGACTCAACATTTAATCCGCTATAATTTAGGATATGGACTGATAACAATCAATGCCCGGAGGCACGGTTTACATTTAAGATACAGGTGCTGTGTTTGATTTTTTTTTATGTTGATTTTTTTTTTAAATATCGGGAATTCAAGCTGTAATATCGGGAATCGGGATCAGTGTTGAAATATCGGGATTTTTTTAAATCCCGCCGGGATGTCACATGTATGCTACAGAACTAATTGATGGATGATCACCAAACTTTGTCTGTAGCATTTTTGGGTATTCTTTTATCAAGTTTGCTCATATTAATTTGATTGTCCCCTTTTAGGGGCCGCTAAAGCTAAAAAAAAGAAAAACCTTTCAACATCTTTTACTACAGAACCAATTGATGGATGATCACCAAACTTCGTCTGTAGCATTCTTGGGTACTCTTTTATCAAGTTTGCTTATATTAATTTGATTAGCCCCTTTTAGGGGCCACTAAAGCTAAAAATAGAAAAAGCCTTCGAACATCATTTCCTACTGAAATAATTGATAGATGGTCACCAAACTTTGTAGCATTCTTAGGTAGTCTTTTATCAATTTGCTCATATTAATTTGATTAGCTCCATTTAAGCTAAAGCTTAAATGCCGCAGGTCATGGCATTTCTTCAAATTATTGTTTAAACATATTCTATGCTCAAATTTAATATTAGAATATATTGACATTCCAACACTGAAAAGCAGTTGTTTTTGGTGAGCGACTCAGGGCCATCATGGCCCTCTTGTTTTGATTTTGTTACAAATATGTTTCACACTGATGTCGTCAGGTTATGCATTTTTCTAACAACTGAAATAACTGGTACATGTCTTATGGTAGTGGCTGTGAAAGATTATACATACAATGTATACTTAAAAATGTTGCAAAAGTATTACTGGATTAAATATATAATAAAAGCTTATATACCTGAAAAACCACATTTTCTGATTCATGTTGTTTCCCATTTTATTTAAATGTACATGAATTAAACTAGAAAACAGATTGAAAAATTTTCATTCTAAAACTTTAACTGCTATTTTCAATAGATGTAGTTTTGATTTCATGCATGCACATCCTGCTTTATCAGAAATTGACAAACTTGAATATTGCAACTTAGGTACCTTGGTAGGATAACAAGAGACAAATAAATATTCCATTGATGATACCGCCCAATATGAGCCTGCCCACTAATTTTTAAAACTAAGGGTTTACATATCCTTTGTCGTTAAAAGTTTAAGGTATATTTCTAAAATTTGGACCCCATTTTAAGCATGTTTTTGTTTTTATAAACAAATTGATATATTTTAGCAAGAAAAAATGGTCCATTCGAAATAAAATGAAATACATGTATTTCAAAAGTACAAGTTGTAATGAAAAATTTGAAAATTTATATAAGAACATGGTATGAGGTTTTCGAAAATGATTTTAAACATAAAATGTTTACATTAGTATTGTTTGTTAATTTAAATTAGACCACAAGTTCTGGAATAATAAAAACATAACATGAATTTTTTGGTTAAACAATTCTGTAACTACGTATATGTTCCTCCTGTCTGTAATTTTTATGCATGCATGTAGTACTAGTATTTTGTTGGGGAATCATACACTGTGGTGCGGGAATAAGAATGCTGTAACATTTATTGTTATTTTATTGAATGATATATTTTATATTTACAGGGTATAACTTTTGAGGAGTTTCGACAGTTTAGTCAGTTTATGAACAGTTTAGATGACTTTACGATTGCAATGAATATGTACACATACGCAATGCAGCCTGTGTCAAAAGGTAAGTTAACTGTAAAACATGGTTATGGTATACACTTTCAGGATTTCGTGTTTTTCTCTTTTCATGCAATTGTATTGAAGCTCTTTTTTTGGGCATGAATAAGCATCTGGTTCATGACTAATTGGTTCATGACTAAATGGTTCATGACTAAATGGCACATGGCTAAATGGTTCATGACTAAATGACACATGACTAAATGGCACATGACTAAATTGTTCATGACTTAATGGTTCATGACTAAATGGCACATGACTAAATGGTTCATGACTAAATGGTTCATGACTTAATGAAGCATAGAAAGGCAGCCTTAGGTTATACCACCACCTGTTAAAGTTTGAAAGTCCTCAAAGTATATTTTGTTCCTAATAAACTGGCCTCTGTGGCCAAATGGTTAAAGTAGCTTTTTTTAAATCACTTGCTCCTTGCTGCTGTGGGTTGGAATCCTGCCAGTTAATTTGGATTATTTTATGTGAGCTGTCCAGCTAGCTGATGGAAGAAAGGTGTTTCTACCAAGGTGCCTACTTTAATGGAAAGTTAGTTGAGCATTGATCTTCTTCTTCCTTCAGTATGGCTGGAAAGTCAAAATAATGACAATGACAATGTCAGCAGGACATTTAAAAAGGTAGAAAAAAATGAAAATGGTGTAGAATGAAGATTGAAGATACTGAACTCTAATTAAACATAGTTCAAGATGAAGATTAACTTTTACAATATCAAAAAAAATTGTTATATAAAATACTATACAGTAGATATATTAAAGAAATAAGCAGATACTAATTACATGTAACTACAATCAGTAGTGAATAGCTGTTAAAATATTGATAAATTGGTTGCTGAAATATTTATTTTCTAGTTTTACCTGGAATTGAAGTTACAAATACTTAAAAATGTATTTCTAGTTTTACATATATATATTTAAAGAATGACTGGTTTGAAGGAGAATTGTAATGTTGACAGAATGAGAGTCTCTTTTTAATAGAAAAACAGAATTGTTTTCTATTTTCTACCTGAATATTCATAAAGTAAGAAAGTTTGTATGATTACTATGAATTTATAAGACATTGTTTTTTTTATCATAAATATCTTATATTTTACAATGTTTTGTTTATGATTTACAGAGGAATTTCAGAGAGCCGTAAAGATCTGTACAGGAACGGAACTTGGGTCTCACATTGTTAACACTGTATTCAACATGTTTGATGTTGATGGAGACGGCCATCTTAGTTACAAGGAGTTCATCTCTATCATGAAAGATAGGAAATATAGAGGCTCTAGGGTATGGTATACTATTTGAGTGATCAGAAATGTATATTTTGCAGTGTTAGAGTTACATAGATAGGCATATGTTAAAGGACTTTTATCCACTTTGGAAGAACATGAAGGATGTATTGTATGGTATGGCATTTGATGATTGTGTTGTAAAGTGTCTTATTGTGACATTATTTCAATGATTTATTGTATAAAATGAAGTAGAAGTGGTATCTTGTAAGGTTTAATATACTGAAACAAAAAAGAAACTTTCTCCAAGTTTGAATGTAGATATGTTAGTACAGTTTTTCAATCCTTTTGAAACTCGATTTTTACGTTGAATAAACATATCGGGCTTTTATACGGGGATTAGCTGACCGATTTTGCAAACAAACGAGTTTTACAAGCTACTACATGTATATAAGTGTGTACATTTAAGTGGTACCCTTGAACAACTGGCACATACTTTGCGAAAGTTTCTTTTTTGGTAAAGTATAGTATGGTAGGGCTTTTAAATTCATCAATCAGCAATTTGCTCTTTTCACTTTACATTACAAAATGTATATGCTTTCTATCATGAAAAAGAATAGACTCCTGCGACAATGATCTCTGTGTAATCTGTCTGTTAGTCTGTATTCTTAAAGATGATTATAGTATTATATCTTCCTAGTACAGTGTACATGTATATCAAAATAACGGTCCTATATGCAATCAATCATGTAGTAAAGTAGACACAGTCATCAAACAAGTAATTGTTGGTTATTCAGTTCAGTTTACAGCAAGGTTAATTCAATGCCAAATTTACTTGTGTCAAACCTGAATATCTGGTTTTGCAGTTACAGTGTACTAGGTCGAAAATTACAAATTTCATAAAATTGAGACCCAGTCTTACAGCAGAGAGTTTTGTCAGTACTAGGATAAAAATACTGAAAATTGAGATGCAGTCTTACATGTATTATAGCTGAGTGAGATAATGCAGATAATGCACTTTGCCAGTATTAGGTGAAAAATACACAAAATTGAGACCCAGTCTTACAATAAGTCTGTCTTTTAACTGAGTAAATATGCACTTTGCCAGTATAAGGTGAAAAATACACAAAATTGAGACCCAGTCTTACAATAAGTCTGTCTTTTAACTGAGTAAATATGCACTTTGCCAGTATAAGGTGAAAAATACACAAATTAAGACCCAGTCTTACATGTATTATAGCTGAGTAGATGGGCACCTAGGGGCAGTGTTTTGCCAGTATAAGGTGAAAAATACATAAAATTAGGAGCAAGCATAATATGCATTAAATCTAGTTAATGTGTAAATGCTTAATATAGGTAAATTTATGTCGATGTCAATGATAACAAAATATCTGAAATTGTCTCAGAAATTGAATAAGTATCAATAATCTATACTATATTAAGATATTTTTATGTCAAACTACTTCATGCAAAAATACTTTTAAGATGCCAAAATATGCAGAAATGTATTTTGTTTAAGGAAGATACAATGTATGCTTGGTTGTTTTGCTTATGAAATACTGGTTTTAAGTATGTTTTTCTCCCCTCTTGTGGACAAAGTTTGAGACATATATATCATATCATATAATATTAGATTGATTTTATTTTGTGTTCATGTGCATGTATTCATATAAACAAATTTCTTTTGATGAATTACGACTGAGGCATAAAACAAAACGTAAAAAAAACTGAAGTATTTTTTGTATGCATTTATGTAAAATTATTTTTTGTATGCATTTATGTAATTTTATTTTATAATTATATATTGTAATTGTAGCTGATAGGGGTAAGTGAGAGGTTTTGCATGAGATATATAATTTTTTAATAACCAATTTATCACAAAGTCTCAAATAATGAAATATTAGTATTTATATGTCACAGTGATCCCGAATTGCAGCCTTTTCTTCCACCACACCATATTTTTTGAAGTGAAACTGTTTAGTTATTTGTTTGTGAAATCCGTACCAAAACAAAATTGAAAATAAGCAATTACCTCCCTTCCTTGTTGAGAAGTATTTGAAACTTTGTCTTTGATGTTAAATGACTGCATGAGTACTAAAGTAGGACTTTTAGACTGTCAGATATTTTTTACCCTTGAAAACATCAGTCTGACTTTTTTTTATAACATGACATTACATTGTTGATTAAAACTATAATTAAGACATGTATGTAGACTTAACTTAAGGTCTTCAGCATACCCATTAATTTTATATACTGTGACAAATCACACCACATGAAAAACAAAAATGTTAAAAAGCAGCTTATAAAGTTTTGGAAGCCATTTGGCATTTATGTCCAGATTCCACTTAGTTACATGGACTTTGATATTTAAATCAATAAGAGCTAAAATGAATAAGTGCTCAGTCACTCCTGCATAAAATAATTTAGGTCCAGTTTCCACATAAATGGGCTTTGATATTTAAATGAATAAGATCTTAAATGAATAAGAGCAAAGTTGTCTGGTTAGCTCAATAGGTAGAGCGTTGGACTGTGAATCGGGCGACCCGGGTTTGATCATCGTTGTGATTGATCATGAAATCCTTTCTACGGTCATTTGCACTGTACCTCTGCTCTGGCATGTAGAGAAGTTACAGTTCCTTGTGAAAGTGAAGGCTTGACTGCCTGCCCAGGAACAATGCGGTGTTTGAACTGTGCTCTGGTGAATTCAATGTGGCTAACTGCCGTGATCCGGAGTGAAAACTACCAACACCACCACCAATGAATAAGAACTCAATTACTCTTGCATAAAATGATTTAGGTCAAGATTCCACATTCATGGCCTTTGATATTTAAATGAATAAGAGCTCAATGTCTTTTATATAAATGATTTACGTCCAGATTTCACATGCATGGCCTTTGATACAAAAAGAAATACTTGTAAATGTGTGACAAACTTTATGGAAACTTACCAATCCTGGCAAAATGAAAAAAAATGAATTTTCAAATTTTGTGATAGAAATATAGGTAATAACAATGTTATGTATATATTTTTCAGTCTCACAGTCAGTTGACGCCAAGAAGTTGGGATGCATTCAAAGCCTGTGTGAAGAACGAGATGAGGTCATACTGAGTGACCTTGACAGATCAAATTGAATGACCTTGACAATGTTGAGATATAATTTTCTAGTTTTAGAACCTACCTACTTCTCTTTGAAAGAACTATACTAGCTCATTTATTTAATTGTAGAGAATTATGTAGCTTCAAGTCCTATAGCTTTATATTATAGTGTGTAGCCACAGTGCGGCACTCATTTTGTATATATACAGAGTGTGAATATAGCGTTGAATAGTTTTACTTAAATATTTGGCATACCAACTTTTAACACAACTTCTTCTGATATTGTTAAGATGTAGATTATTGACATTTTGAAGTTGATGTTTTGAGCCAAAGTTAATTGAAAGACAAATAATTTGCTATGATTGATAAAAGATCCATAATAGTACATATTTGTTAATACAACAGCTTAGTTTAAGCAATTTTGCATGTGTTAAATAGGCATATTACGACTGCTAAAGGTAAATCTGACACACTGTGTAGCTTTGTTAAGTCTCAAAATTGCGGTGACAGTCAGTGGCTGTAATAGTAGCTGAACAATATAGTAACACCTGGTTGTGAAGACCAGTCTTTGGAAATGAAAAATACAGTCAGTCCTGATGATAAAGACTTTGTGTTTTGAAATATATAGGTAACTGGTCATTGTTAAGAGTTGGTCTTTAAAGACAAGGTTGTTTAGCATATATTTTTGCTCAAAATGAAAAGAAAGAATAATTGCCTTTTGTGACACTTTTTTCTGTATGTAATATTTGTTTGGAAGTGATGTAAGTGCAAGTTAAATTGATAGCTCTTTGTTCAAAGCTTTTACGAAAGAGTTACTTTTAAAATCGGTTAAGTTATTATCAAGTGAAACAAAAGATTAGGTTTATGTTGTCTTCATGTTTTGAAAGTGAAAGTATATTAATTAAAAATTTTTTCTATTCATGTTCTTTCATCAGCATTTAGGGATATACCCGGTAAGTAAATATTAGGCATAGAAAGAACGTATAATCATTGGTGTTTTGTAAGACATAGAGTGACAAGTTTGTTGTTAATTTTGTGTTGGCCACATGTTTGTCTCACCATTAACATTTGCAATGAAATGAGAAAATAATCAGCAGGTGAAAATATTAACATGTATATATATTGCATGGACGCTTTCATTTTATTTTAATACATGTTTTCCCCTTTTTGTCTTTGAAATGCTTGATAATTTAAGGTTGATTCTTTCCTGATGTTATTGAAGTTTTTTTTACTTCCATAACCTCTGTTTGAATATTTTCTTTTCAAGGTGATTTCAACCTGATCATATAATAACATGTATCTGAGCAGAACTTGTAAGAACTGCACTTGATATAATGTTTGAATTAATAACTAGATTTGGATATCTGACTTGATTTAGATATCTGACTTGATTTTATTAAACAGACTTGATTTGAATTACACAAGTTTTGTTAAACTTTACTTGACTCAATTTGGATATATGACTTGATTTTCTTCAACTGGCTTGATTTGAATTCTTGGCTTGATTTGAATTACTTACTTTATTTTGTTAAACTAATTTGATTGGAGGATTATTGGTTTAAATGTTTACTGTTGAGTTGAAATACTATGCTTGTTTATAGGCTTTTGTTATCAGTTAATGTGGTAAGTTATTGTGGCAGAATTTGAATATTTATCTGGTCTACATGCATTATGTTTTTAGGTTCAAATTCCACAAAAGTAAAATTTCATGCTTAGGTTCTTTAGAATATGTTAAACAGTTATTGATACATTCAAACTCTAAAAAGTCTAAATCATGAGTATACTTTACATGTAATTTATTTTGCCTGTCTTCATTATTATTATATTATTTATATCTTTATACTTATAAATTTTTCTATGTCACTTCTCATATTACTACCTGTTAATGATGTTCTTAAATGTTTAACTACATGTATATGTGATACATATCTTGTTTTGTTTTATCCAATTTCAGGCCTTGATTTTTATATGTGAGGTCTAAATAAAGATTTTTCTATCTAGAATATGATTGTTTTATGTTATTATACCCCTGCACAACAAAGTTGTAAGGGGGATATACTGGAATCAGCTTGAATATGGATAGGCCATCGAACTGTAAGAGAACAATAGAGTTCATTCCGTAACAAAAGAAGAAGGGGCCATGGCCCTATATTAAACGATAGAAAATAACAATAGAAATGGATCCATCTGTCACTTTTTCCTTGTCCGCCTAATAACTTAAAATTCTATAGATTGGTCATGATAAGATGATGACCCCTATTGATTTTCAGATCAAATGTCAAGGTCACAGGGGCGTTGACTTAAAAAAGCTTGTCTGCCCAATAACTTAAGAATCCTTTGACCCAAAGTCTTTATATTTGGTATATAGGTAGATGACCCCCATTGATTTTGAGGTCACAGGTCAAGGTCATAGGGGCCTTGACTAAAAAAACTTGTTCACCCAATAACTTAAGAATCCTTTGACCCACAGTCTTCATATTTGGTATAAAGATTGGTTATGATAAGTAGATCACCCCTATTGATTTTGAGTTCACTACGTCGAGGACAAAAGGACCTTTAGTAAAAAAAGCCTGTCAACCCAATTACTTCAAAATCCCTTGACCTTCAGTCTTCATGTTTGGTATTGAGGTTAGTCATGATTATTAGATGACCCCTATTGATTTTGGGGTCAAAGGTCAAGGTCACAGGGGCCTTGACTTCAAAAAGCTTGTATGCCCAATAACTTCAGATTCCTTGACCCACAGTCTTCATATTTGGCATGGATGTTAATCATGACAATTAGATGACCCCCTATTGATTTTGAAGTCACTGGGTTAAAGGTCAAGGACACAAGGCCCTTTAGTTCTAAAACCTTGCACTCTCAATTGCTTTAGAATCTTTGGTCAACACTTCATATTTGGTATTAAGGTTGATTATGACTAGTAGATTACCCCTATTGATTTTGAGGTCACAAGGTCAAAGGTCAAGAACAAAAGGACCTTGACTTAAATAAGCCTGTCCACCCAATAACATAAGAATCCTTTACACACAGTCTTCATATTTGGCATGGAGGTTAGTCATGACTATTTGATGACCCCTATTGCTTTTGAGGTCAAATGTCAAGGTCACAGGGACCTTGATTAAAAAAGCGTGTCCGCCCAATAACTTAAGAATCCTTTGACCCACAGTCTTCATGTTTGGTATTGAGGTTGGTTATGCCTTGTAGGTGACCTTATTGATTTTTAGGTGATTGTGTGAAAGGTCATGGTCACAGGGGCTTTTACTACAATAAGCTTGTCTGCTCAAATGCTTAAGAATGCCTGTCAACAATGTATTGATTTTGACAATATCTCATTTGAAGCATTTAATTATGTCTCATATAGTCATCACAAGACACCCCTCATATATTCATCATAAGACACCCCCAGGCAAAGCCCCATGGATGGGGGGGGGGGGGTGATTAGTCATGCAGTGGCAGTTTCAGTTTTGAGGTCAGTAGATCAAAGGTAAAGATCACTTTTACCTTTGCCACTAAAACATGTAGAATACATAACTTAGCAAGGCACTGCCTTACTACCCTCAGATTTTGCAGTGAGGTAATCCTTTAGCTCTAAAGACCATTGTTGATTCTGACAAAGTGGTATGTAGGGGTATTCACGCCATGACAATGGCAGTTCTAGCTACTTTCTTTGTTAAACTAAAGCCATTACTCACTAATATACTTTCAAAGACCCAGTCTGACTGAAGAACTGTTTAAATTTGTTGAGGATCAAGGGAGACTATCGTGACTTGCGTGTTCACTTAAAGGGAGCTTATCGTTATAGCGTAGTTAACCATAATACGATATAATTATGTAGCTAGGAAAAAAATAAGGAATAATAATAGGAAAAATAAGGAGAGAGGACCCTCATTAACGTGCGCGTAAAGAAAATAATATTATGTCTTATCCTTTATAAAAAGTATTGATTACTTTATTAATATTCTTCACCACCTCAAATCTGAATGTGAGTCATGACTGTTAGATACCTCCTGTTATTAAGTCAGTTGGTCAATAGTCAAGACCACATGACCTTCATTCACCTCATATATGTATAGAAACATTGTAACATTGGCCACCTTTTAAAACTTTAAAATCTATTTATGTCATTTATTGAAATATTACATCAGCCGTTTAAAAATTAAGTAATATCTTCGTATTAGAATACGATAATTATGAGATTAACATTTAGTTAAACCCTAATGTTTAAACAGGATGTAACACGATATAGAAATAATGTTAAATAAAGTTGATTATCGAAAAATAAGGTAAATAGAATTATTGCGAATATTGAACTTTCAACTACATTTGTATTAAATCTTTTTATATGCACTAGTATGCTTTAAACGTACATTGCCCCTTTCTGTTTACATTTTTTAGTAGCAAATCAATGAGAGGTAACGATATGCGGGTCACAGTTATTAGTAAAGCTCCACGAAGTTAAGTTATTCATGACCTATAATAATAAAAATCTTAACACATGAATTACGAGTATCGTATCATTGAAAAAAAATGTGTTTAGCAGACGACTTGGAGTAAGAATAACACGGATTGCTACAGAATAAGTGAGTGAAAAAATATGGAGGATAAAAAGAATGTCTTCATTGTGTATGCACATCAGGAACCAAAATCTTTTAACGGGGCTTTTAAAGACAAGGCGGTGCAGGTTCTTAAAGATCAAGGTCATACTGTTACCGTCTCGGACCTTTATGCAATGAGATTTGACCCGACAGCGTCCAAACATACCTTTAAAGGTTAGTACTTTTTCACGATTTGATTCAATTTGACTTCTGCTGCAACAATCATGCATATTTACACATTTATGTATTTCTATTTCAATCTTTTAACAAGACCTTTTATAACTTAATTAATGCAGTCAGTACATATTTGATATAATTACCTTTTTCGTCGTTGCATTTTTACAATTTAAAGTTCTATACAAGCCTAATTAATTCGGCGTGAACGGTTTGACCCATTTTACAGACTTTTTTTTATCTTACTGTCAGAGCGCCCGTCCAAAATTATCTCGGTGTCTCTTTGACAAGTCTAATTAGTTGGACTAAATGTTATAGATCTAAGACAGTCATCTACAGTTCATCATGTACATTCCTTGGGGTGTTGCTCGCTCAATACTTCTGATATCTCTCTAAATAATAATAAAATTTGCACGAATACATGTACACATGAACATGTAATGCTCGAAAATGAGTAAGCGAAATTATAACAACATTGACATAAAGAAACCTCGTTTATTTTAACATTAAATTCGTGAATTTTTTATCTTTGACATATATAAGTTTGACTTAACCTATTAACTTGTCAATGACCCGTTTTAAATAAAGCCACAATCGGAACATCCTCGGCTATTATCTATAATAACCACGAAGAATGACGGAAAGGGCCGAAAAGTTGCGATTGTATTAAGCCATTTATTCGTAAACCCACGCACGCACGCACACACACATACACACAAACACCTGTACGTACATGTATACAAAATAGTTCAGAATTTAATATTTGTTATAACTGAAATTTCAAATGATATTGTAAAAGTCAAATTTGATAAGGTAAATAAATAGAATGTCCAAGTATAAAAACAAATGGCCACATTATTGTGTCTCTAATTTATTCATTCATAGACCGTATGAAATTCAAATGCTGTTAATTAAATTATAATTTCCCGCTGCCGTCCTTAATAAATGCACTAATGCACAGCTACTTGTAGACAGAGGCATGCCATTGACAACAAAATAGCAGGGATAGAAATACGTATAACTGTCTGACTCCTAGTGAGACTTGCTTTCAGCGGGGAATTTGAACTTTAACAACAGCATGTAAGGCAGATCCTTTACCAGCTATTCCTTTGGGTTGGGGCGGGAAATACAATTGAACAAAACTACTAATTAATGCATAAATAGTACCTAAAAATATGTATTATGACTAATAGCGGTCATAATGTTCTTGAAATCCTAACTATTGACATTGATCTTTATGATAGCATTATTGTTTCTTTCAGAGCGCAAAAATAACGAAGAATTCAATTTTCAACAAGAGCTTTCTCACGCAGCCGAAAAAGGAACGCTCGCAGACGACATAAAAGCTGAAATTGACAAGATATTAGCCGCCGATCTTATTATAATACAGTTTCCTTTGTACTGGCTCGGAATGCCAGCTATTTTAAAAGGATGGTTTGACCGCTGTTTAGCTGAAAAAGTTGCTTTTGATACAATGAGGTCGAAATGGTTTGATAACGGACCTTTTGCGAGTAAGAAAATAGTGCTGTCATTCACAACAGGTGGAACAGAAGACTTTTTTTCTAACACCGGGATATTCGGCGACATGGATGTTATTCTATGGCCTCTCCAGGTTAGTAAAAACAGACATAAGTATGAAACACGCATAACATTGAATTAATAAACATCGAATTTTGATATCAATTTTATCAGACAAAGCCGGTATTGTAAGGTAGGGTGGAGGCTTGCTCGACTTCAGACCCTGTGACATAATAATGTTCATCAAGCGTTACATTTTTGCTTCTTGCTGACGACGTGACTTTTGTCAATCAAGTGTCACAAAAATGCTGGACAAGGCTAGGATACGTGGTGATATTCGTAAATTTAGCGTCATTATGTTGCTAGGCTGCAAAACATTATACATTTGTAGTCACTGAAAGAAAAAGGAGTTGAACATAAGTCTCTTTATACCAGAACTTGAAGTAAACATGATCTTGTTGTTTATTTTTAGTGTAGCGCAAGAAATCACTTTGTGATAAATGCTAAAAAACGCTTAAATGTGCATAATTTACTAGTATACATTTCGAGATGCAGCTCTTGTCTAGATAGATAGAACATACTTTATCAAGGTGTTACTTTTTACTTTTTTCAGAACATGTTGCGGTTTACTGGTTTCCAGGTTTTAGCGCCACAAATTTCATACGGGCCAGGAGACGTTTCCGAGAACCAGCGCACGTGCATGTTGCAGACATGGAATGATCGGCTCCAGACAATATGGGACGAGGAACCTCTGTCGTTTATCAATGTGAAAAACTTTGATCCAGAAAAAGGATTTACTTTAACTGAAAGATATATTTCATCGCTTAAAGATGGGGAATCGGGGCCTACCCCAGGTCAAAATCTAGGACGCAGTTTTCTTCAGGGAAGCATGACGACGATCCCTAATATATCGAAAAGCCATTCCAAGTGATGATGACAAGCCCGTACATTAGTTGATTCATAGTTAAGAAAGAAAACTTATAGTCGGATACCTTATTTTTTATTGAAGGTGTTGTATTAAACAGTGTGAAGCGAGACTCTTAATGAGCCGATCACCTTACGAGCTTCATTTGAGCCTCGTCATGACAAAACCAACATAATGGGTTTGCGACCAGCATGGATCCAGACCAGCCTGAGCATCCGCGCAGTCTGATCAGGGTCCATGATGTTCGCTACAAGTTTCTTTACTTGTTATAGGGTCTGTAAGCGAACAGCGTGGATCCTGATCAAACTGCTGGTCGCAAACAAATTATGTTGGTTTTGTCATGAGGCGGCTCATTTGATTTTATCAAACGTGTTCAATTTAATCTTCAAGAATTGAATGTTACATTTATCAGACATTCTTATTTAAGAGAGGAGGGACTCATGTGTTTTACCTCTTTACGACGTCATTCGTGGCTATGAAAAATAGACTCGAGTATGCGCAAATTGCGTAGGGCAAAAGAGCGTAGCCCTACATAGAAATGTAGTAGAAGTTTATAGATAATTCTGAGTTAGTTTAAGGTAAATTTGCAAATGTGTTATTATGTTCATTTTCATAATTACATGTATAACACGTGCCATACAGACTGTTCACAGTTAATATGTGATATAGATTATTTTATGAAGAAACTTATACATGTGCCAACTTTTTCTTTTCTCATCTTTTAAGGAAAAATATTAAGGTATAAATTGCTTTACCTATATTTGCATTAAAGATATCAATTAAATTGTCTGAAAATGATTTAATGAAGTTGAATTCAATGGGAAAGATAAGAACACGATTTCATACTTTCTTGTGTTATGCACCGTCAAGTTGATAAAAATAAAAACAAATTAAAAGGAAAGAGAAAATGGAAAAAATATTAGGATTTACTGAAGAACAAAAAAAAGTTTTGAGAAGAACTGTTTTGAAATTCATGAAAGAATATTTCGCGCCATTTAAGAAGTAGACATATTACCGCGAAAGTGTGTAGCCGCGAATTAAGATCGCATGTACATAGTAAGGAATAGTGAAGGAATTCACAGTACGATGTCTTGCAAGCCTTATATACCCTGTCTTTTGTTAACAAGCTCGAGTTACTTCCAAATACTGTTCCTTTTTTGAAAGCCTATATTTTAGCATGTACCTTTCTTTCGGTAACAGAAAGACTAAGACTAAGATTTCTAAATCTTGTAGTACGTTTTTTTTTGTATCTGCGTTTGTGCACACTTAATCGAAGGACTGTCGAACGATATTGCTAAATTCGTGTAATGGAATTGTCCTGCTTTGTATTTTAAAAGGATTTAATTAACATACAAAATTTGAACTACAGTTCGGAGCCTTGTCAGCCTAAATGACTGGTCATGGATCCATATTTGTGGCACAGAAGGTTAAAGGTTAGTGCAAAACAGATATCAAATATTTACTAAATAACAGAAAAAAGAATATACACCTGTACTTGTGCGTTCTATTGTGTTAATAAATGAGCACTTGTACATGGACTTGAATTAGTAAAAAAAAGTTTTTACTGCTAGTGCGTTGACTTAAAATAACACACAGTTCTAGTTTAGATATGCTCGTTATTGTGCACTGCACTTCTTAACAAGATCTATCATCCTATGAAGTTTTAGGCCCATACATAGGTTTATACTTTAGGAGAATGGCCCGGTCAAAAATAAAGTATGAAAATGAACAAAGGGCAATAACTCAAAAATAAGAAGTGCAGAGTAACGATTCTTGTGCAATGCATTATAAGAAACATGCATACCAAGTTTGGGTCAACCCGACTATAGAGACCGACTTATGCTCCGGACAAGCTTAAGGGGACTCCGACAAATAACCCCCCTATCATGTTGCCGTTTTCAAGGCAACACAAAAACGTATGGGTGGTTCTGTGTTGTACAAATGTCTCGAAAAGGTTAACCGTTTAATATTATCATGGTTAAAGCTCTTCATATATACTCGTAGGGAAAAAGTAATAGAAATATTTGAAATTTCCTTTAGCATTTTTGTGTGAAGAGGCATGAATGAAAAAACATGCCTTCAGTATATTTAAGCAGCCAAGATCTAAGTGATTGTTTAAAAAATTTAAATACAAAACAAGTTCTAAATATATTGACACAAAAGACGAGTCAAAAGAACAACAAATCTTTCAAATTTTAACATCATTTATTATCACCATTTGTCACAAGTTAAATATGCTCCATATGGAAATGTTCAAAGCAACAGTGAAAGCTTAAAGGAAAAAACAACAACAACAACATATATATCAAAACATAATGGGATAAATAGAAATACAGTCATAAGTTTTCAACATCCTTTAAATTTTTCTATCATTTTTTTTCATCGAAAAAAACGAAAGAAAAAGAAACAATATCTATGATTATATTTTGTACACTATATACAAGCATAGGGCTATCAATTATATTGTGAATAAATATGTACATCATTCAAAACAACGTCAAAAAATTGAATAAAAAACGGCTACAAATCTATCTTTTCGTTAACAACCAACTGATAAATTTTGACACAATTTTTGACATAAAATTATACCTAGATTTCTGTAAAGACCATGTTACAGAGAGAAATATATGACACTTCTGTTGAAGGTTTTTTATATCTACATGTTACAAAAAGAAACAGTTCAGGAATAAGAGTTAGACTAGCAGACTTTATTTAATACTCGGTATAAAATGTCATTTTGTGGTACTAAAATGTCTAAAGAAGAACAAATCTTGTAACATATGTTTTTAAAACATTTACCACATTAAATTTCTTAAATAGACCAATATGGACACAAACCAGATATCATTTTTAGATTTTTAGTTTTCTTTTATTGTTTGTTTTGTTTGGTTTTACAGCACACCAACACAATTTAGGTGACATAGCGCTGAAACAGGAAGGATGATTTTAGTTAACCTTAGGTTTTACACAAAGAAAAAAAAGGTTTTACAAACTTTCAGCAACACCAGGTGTCAAAACCACACCACCTGCTGGTGCTAAGAGATGCATAGACTCCAGTTAGGGAATCCATTCAGTTGCCTCTTTTAATCACTAACCAATAAATGGTGGCTGCAATTCTGATAAAAAAAAAGTCCTAATTCACAAGGAAAAATTTCAAAATATGTATTAACTGAAATAACTTATAGTGTTTATCATTATCAGATGGCAGCAAGCAAAGGGTAAAACATTAAGCGAAATGGGATTAAAAGAGTTTTGAAATCCTGAAGAAAATGATAAGTTTTCCTTAAGTTAACCTTAAAGCTGCTCAATATCCTAAATGCCAGTCTTTCAACATAGACAATTTCATTTTATTTTAGGGAAACTTTCAAAATATGACTGAATATTTAACAGTACAGACTATGCTCAGTAACACAAAGACTGTCTTGATGAGAATTTTAAGTTAAGTCGGCCAACAGTATCAAGCCTGGTCAGACGGCATGGATGTGTAGGCTGGCCTGGCTCTATACTGGTGGCAAAGGCTAATCACTTTCAGTTCCAGAAGGTTACAAATTAAGCAGTCAACAATTTTTACACAAATGAGTCAAAAGTAAATAAATAGGCAAGTTATTAGCCCCACTAATGTTCAATAACTGTTTTTATACATTTTTTACAAAACTGTTTTCGAATCCCTGAGGCAAATTAAAATAAGAGACAAGCATTGACCAAACAACACTGAGGCCCAAATCCTGAAAGAAAACAACAATAAAATAATAATAATAGGAAATCCCCCTTTCTTTAAACAATTACCTATGAAATGTTTCAGTACCAAATAAAACAAACTAAATTTTCTGTTACAATAATAACAATAGCATTCTGTTTGAAATACATACCCCTTATTCCTTTCCATATTGTTTGATTTTATTAACCTGTCAATTCCATACTGATTATACGGTCAATGCACAGAATATATTAATATTCGATAAATGTTTGGTAAATTCCGTGAGAGTTACGCAGTAAGATGTGATTAAATTCATCTAGTTTCTATGCAGTCATTACACTGACCGTTATAGCGCAATAGGGTAAACCACGGATATATATTATCTGAATGTCCAAAGTATTGTAAGATCGAGACAGAGTAAGCCAAGGTTTTTTTTCTAATACATAACTATTTTCATCATTTTTGAAGGTATGGTTGTTCCTTTTATAACATGTTTTGCACTTTTTGTAAATACTATACTTTTGTATATAACATTGTTTAAGAATTATTACTGAAAATTCATTCGGATTAAAATCAATATATGTAATTTCAGTGCCGTAAAATACAATACAAAATGTGACAATTCAATGTTTCTTAGTTGTTTCATATCCGTATAGACAATTTTGCAAGCGCTTGACCATTTTCATTAAAATATACTTAAAAGTAAAGAAATAATAAGTCTAAAAAGAATGTCAAAAGAAGGGATCGAACCTCGGACCTCTCATGCATTTGGTTATCACTTAACCGACTGCGCTATTGCAGATGTTAAGAAAACTTTCATTAAGCTAGTGGCAGTTTTCCAAACGTTAGTCATATAAACTCCTTATTAATTCTCGTAAAATAAACGGACAAAACCGAAGTGGAATCGAATATTTTAATGAGTTCTATAATGTATTCATAATTGACAGGTCAATAAAATCAGACTATACCTCGGTCTTATTTGATTGGCAGCTAATTTGAGCATCATTTCTATAGCTTTAAAAATAGCCTATGTGGTTATATATTGAAGTTTTACTAAAAATTAAAATTTTTCCTGAATTCTGCAGGCAGTTTTATCTATCCATTAAAACAGTCTTTACTTATTCAATATTTCTGTGTCATCCAACATACAACTATTTAAAAATATATAGATTTATCCTTCTTTTGAGGAAAAACTTCTGAATAGCTGTATTTCTTTCAAAACTAGCTTTCTTATTGAATTAGGAGAGTATATTAACCAATTTATGAGAGATTAAAATCCTAATATACTTGTTGCATATACATTGTACAATTAGCATAAAAACACAAAGAATTTGATCAACTGTTATAAAACAAATAACAAAATACTGTCAACACTTTTAAAAGCAAACAAAACATCATCTATTTGTGACTAAAGACTGGTAATATCATAATACAGAATAAAGTTAAGTCTTCAAAACTTAATTTGGAGCCCAGTCAACACTCTTTCAACCTTAGGCCTCCGATTGGCTAATTCAAAATAGAAATTTCAAATTTGACCAATAAGGAGGTAACTATCACAGACTGGTCTGCAAAATCAGTTTTAAGTCTCCAATCAATGTCATGATATGAATAATAATCATAATTAAATCATATGTTTCTAATACACGTACATAATTACATAAAAAATGCTACTTTACCTGCACCTTGAACACAATCATAAAGTTTTTTTTAACTTTTATTCTATCACTAGTTCTAAATATCTTGGGAGCATACATTAAGAAAAATAAAAAATGTTAATGCTACATGTTTACATATGCATACATTTTTGACACATGATATTTATAGAAACACTGTTTTAAAAAAGCACATTGAAAATTACATAGCTACATGTTTGGCCGTCGTCATAATGCCAATGTGTCCTTGATGAACTTTCTCATCGTCGTGGAAACAGAACTGGAAGACGGGCCATTAATTTGATGAGTGATCTGAAATAGTTACAAATATTGAAATTATTTTACACAGAAACAACTGCTTTACATTTACTATCATGCTGTTTTCTTATGTAATTCTGTAAGCCAGTTATATATTTTATGGGTTACTAAAACTTATAATGATTATTCATGGCAACCATCAACGCTTGCAATATTTTCCTCAATGTAATTTTGTTACTTGTACATATGCATTTCTTGATATAATTCTTGTAAATGTAGTTGGCTCTAGTGAAATTTGCACATGGCCCAAAGCAATGAGTAAGACACAATTTAGTTGAATGCACAAGAACCAAATGCAACTTAAATAATTTAAGAACTTAAATAATTAAAGATTCTCTTATAATGATACTTTTTTTGTATACATTCTCATACTTTATAATTTTTACTTTAGCAAGTTGCATTACATCTTACATCTTACCAGATCATACTGGTGTGCAATATGGATTTTATTACTGTTGCATCATATTTGTTAATCTGATACAAACATTTTATTTAGTGTAATTAGTAACATTATGCCCATCCAAGTGTGAATAGTGACTGCATATGTAAAAATAACTTAAAACTTTGCCATAATTGCTTTTAATTTTAAAATTTACTTCGCATGAATAATCAGTAACCCATATAATGATTCATGGAAATTTCTATACATATTTTTTTTAGGATAAAAATATCAAAAACCAACACAATTTATCAAAACATGTTTCGCTTTAATAAGCTTCATTCGCTGATACATATATGTTTAAGAATTCATCAATAATGTTCAATTAATAAAGAGGAGTCACAGAAGGGCAGTCTTTTTATATTTAAGGCAGATTTTATATTTTATCCTAAACATTTATCATTATCAAGTACTAGGCACTCATCATCATAGTAGTCAATCCTTTTTTAGCTCGACTTTTTTTTTTGAAAAAAAAGAGTAGAGGTATTGTTATAGTCAGGTCGGCGTTGCCGTTGCCGTTCCCGTCCGCAAACTTGTACCTGGATCATAACTTTTTTATTTCTCGGTGTATTGTCTTCATACTTGGCCACAACAACCCTTGGGACAAGACCTTTCAGTAGACCACACTAACCTTGACCTTCATCCATAAATGACCTTGACCTTCAAGGTTAAAAGTCCAATTTTTGCTTGTTCATGCTGTTATTGGCTGTAACTTTGTTATTTTTGAATGGATTGTCTTCAAACTTGAACATAATAATCTTCAAGAATATCCCTTAAAAATAACCCGCCAGACCTTGACCTTCACTCATAAATGACCTTGACTTTGAAGGTCAAATTATTGAAATTTTCATTTTTTTGGCTATTATTGGCTGTAACTTTGTTATTTTTGAATGGATTGTCATCAAACTTGAACATAATTATCTTCAGGGATATCCCTTAAAAAATAACTAGACAGACTTCGACCTTTACTCATAAATGACCTTGACTTTGAAGGTCAAATTATTGAATTTTTCATTTTTTTGGCAATTATTGGCTGTAACTTTGTTATTTTTGAATGGATTGTCTTGAAACTTGAACATAATAATCTTCAAAGATAACTGTTAAAAATATACCGAAAGACCTTGACCTTCACTCATTAATGACATTGTCTTTGAAGGTCAAATTATTGAAATTTTCATTGTTTTGGCGGTAACTGACTGTAACTTTGCTATTATTGAAGGGATCAACTTCATATTATAACAGAACATTCTTAAGGACCAGACCTCGTTGTTTATCAAACCCAAATTTGCTTGGGCTCTTTATTGACCTTGACCTTGAAGGTTAAATTACTGAATTTTCTCAGATTTGTGCATTAAATGACCATAATTATATATTTATTGGTGTGTGTGTGTGTATATATATATATATATATATTTACAACAACAACAACAAGAATTGCGTCATTGTTTCTATTTATAGAATTGCGTCATTGCTTCTATTTTTAGAAATTGCGTCATTGTTGCTATTTTTGGAAATTGCGTCATTGTTGCTATTTTTGGAAATAGCGTCATTGTTGCTATTTTTGGAAATTGCGTCATTATTGCTATTTTTAGAAATTGCGTCATTGTTGCTATTTTTAGATATTGCGTCATTGTTGCTATTTTTAGAAATTGCGTCATTGTTTCTATTTTTAGAAATTGCGTCATTGTTGCTATTTATAGAATTTGCGTCATTGTTGCTATTTTTAGAAATTGCGTCATTTGTGCTATTTTTAGAAATTGCGTCATTGTTGCTATTTTTAGAAATTGCGTCATTGTTGCTATTTTTAGAAATTGCGTCATTGTTGCTATTTTTAGAATTTGCGTCATTGTTGCTATTTTTAGAAATTGCGTCATTGTTTCTATTTTTAGGAATTGCGTCATTGTTGCTATTTATAGAATTTGCGTCATTGTTGCTATTTTTAGAAATTGCGTCATTGTTTCTATTTTTAGGAATTGTGTCATTGTTGCTATTTATAGAAATTGTGTCATTGTTTCTATTTTTAGGAATGGCGTCATTGTTGCTATTTTTAGAAATTGTGTCATTGTTTCTATTTTTAGAAATTGCGTCATGTTGCTATTTTTAGAAATTGCGTAATGCTGCTATTTTTAGAAATTGCATAATGTTTCTATTCATATATATATACAAAATATATAAACAAAACTAATGTGACAAGACAGACCAACTAAATTTATAAAAAGGAAACGTTAAGATATGTTCAAACCTTTCTATGTTTGCATTTAGAAAAAGTAAAAAGTCGAGCGTTGCCCCCGCCCGGCGGTGGCTCTTGTTTTATTTTGTAGCTGATAAAGCTAAAATTTGCAAGTGACAGTGAAAAAAATAGCAAAATGTCATGGCAACCGGTATATAATAAACATCATTCTTAAGTTCTTTAATACAAACTCTCTTCGTATTTCACATAATCATATAAAATTAATAATCAAGCAGCGGAAGACAATGGTCTGTACAAGTTCAAAAGGTCACTGTGGGTTTGAATATCATAAAACCTAAGTACCAGCCAGAAAGATAAACATGAATGAAATTACAGAAAGTAGCTGGGTGACCAGTAACATGTTGCAGAGAAGTTTACCTTGTTATTATGTCATATTGACACACCTTAGCAAGATAGCTTAGGTAATGTCAGAAGTTCTGCTTTAATATACAGAAACAGTCTTTTAGAGTAGAAAAGCAAGTGATATAACGTACCCTGTGTAAGTATGGTTGCACATCTAAGTAAGATGTATCAAAAATGAGATCAACTTCAGACTGGTTCGGCATTTTGGGCACGTACTCATGCCTGTTCATGACATCTGCTATATACAATACTTTCTCTGCCAAGATTTCACCTACTCTTTCCCTGCATATCTGTCGCTCTGTGAAAATAAAAATAAGACATTTGTATTTCGACATCTATCTGACACAGTTACAAATACTTGTAAATCTGTGGTCAATTTTAAATAATCATTTACTAACTTTAAGCCTGCTGGCCTCAAAAGATTCTACCCATGCACTTGCCAAGAAAATGTTAATTCTGGTGAGATATCCCCAAAAGCTGTTTGGGTGATAAAAAATAAGTTGACATTGGCAGGACAAACAAACAAGCAAATATTGCAAAACCCTTTGCTCGCTACACGCAATAATAACAGACCTATCCTGTCAGTATTCAGCCTGGCCAGCCAGCATATCCGTGCAGTCTGACCATGCTCAATAATGTTGGCTGCTGCATTTTAGTATTTTGATAGAAAAATATCTTAAATTATTAACAGACAGATCCATTTTCAAAGTAAAGAAAGTCCATTTTAGAAATTTGGCATATTAGTTTATAAAGAATTTATTTTAGTTTGATTTAGGAGCTGGTAGCTTAATGAAATACTGTCTCTATATGTTCCTGTTAACCAGTACTAAGAAATGATTATGTTTTTTTGCTCAAGGAAACAATGGCTTGCCCCTGTCAGGGTTTGAACCCATGTGGTAAGCAATCTTTTGATAACTAGCCTGACATGTTTACCACTCAGCCTAGCATGTTGAAGGCTGCAGCTCAAAAGAAAGTTATAAATTCACTTGATATCCAGCTTACCGTGTTCATTGCTCAAAGTTATCACATCTAGTTTGACTGTCCACACCTCCCATGGAATACACTCTGCTGGGAACGGCCATCTTGCCCGCTTCCTCTGGAAAAACTCAAGTGAGATCTGTAATATACAAGAAAATTCTGTCAACAATACAATAAAATTTCAATAAAGACAAATACAAAATGAAGACAAATACAACCTAGCTTTCGAGTTGAGATTTGTTCAGTTTTCTTTGGTATCCATCATTTAAGTAACCATAGAACCACAATGAAAAACAAAAAACATAATATAATCTCCAATCTCAATATGGTCCTCTATCCTCAAACCAAGGATCAATGTAGCTTCTGCACTTTTTTTTTGTAATGTCAAGATCCAGATTTCAAAGTTTTTCTTAAAAACAAACATTTTCAACAGACTTTAAAACCCTTTACCTGCTAGAAGTGAATTGATTAGCCCTTGCCATCAGTATAGTGCCACGAGTAGTCTGACTAGACTTAATATCATTGGTCCTTTTGACTTTTGTATTTTGATATACTGAAATCCAGCTGACAAAATTTATTGGATCTTAAATTTGTATATTTGACCTATCCATGAAAAACATGAAAAAATTAGTGACCCATGAACAACAAAGATTTTGCAGTACCTGTCCTTCAGATGGATTTGTCACTTGTTGAAGGGCATCTCTAAACGTCAGAATTTCTCGCCTCACATTACTCGTCAACACATCTGATGCAACATGTACCTGCAATATGTTAATTTTCATATTAAATCTGTCCCTAACATGAACTTTCAACATGTAGCTGGAATATGAGGTTATGTTAATTTTCATATTAAATCTGTCCCAAGGGCACTTGTTTGGTCGTTTTTGGGGCCGAATTTGGGTACCATTCCCCTCTCAAAATCATATGTATTTTCCCCTATCTCCCTAACATGAACTTTCCAGCTAACAGATTTTACTAATTATGGCATATATGTATAGTTAACGCATTAACTGCTGGCAGTAACTGCTTCTAACCATGTGACCACTGCATATGTGCCGTCTGGTCATGGTCTGCACTGTTCACCATTCAGTCACTCAGTATTTTGAAATTTTCTAAAAATGATGAATGGTTTTGAAAGATGGACAAGTCCATTTAAAATATCTAAGGCTTTATCCTTAAATTTGATCCTCAAGTTAAACTATATACTTACATAGGTAAAGTCTATAAAATCACAATCTTCATCTACAAAGCCTAAAGTTCCAACAGAATAGCTGCCCTCTTGTTTGTAGTGGAACTATAATATAGATCAACATACATAATTGTTAACTTACAAATGTACATAGACACAAATTGGCAATAATTAAAGACCTATGCCAATACTAGCATATAGAATTATTGAGTGTTGATGGGAGTAAAAGCAGGAGGGTGTCAACACAAGCACATAGAATTATTTAGTGTCAATAGGGTTATGACAGGCCTGAGTAAATGAACACCTATGTCAACGTGAACGCAATCATCTTAAATTAATGAATGTTAATAGTAGTACAAAACTGTAATTAGAATTATTGATAGTCAACAACTTGAGTAATGACAGGCCTGTGCCAGTACTTAAGTTTGACCATCATACCATTTTAACTCTTTCTTGTCCTTTGTTGACAGTTACATGTAACTTACATGTATTAGAAAAATTGAACTATGGTATAGAAAAACAAAGACAATTTCATTTTAACATAAAAAAGGCTGCTCAGAGAAACTGGGTGAGCTTAGAAATAATTAAATCATGAATGTACATTACATTATATTAAAGGTAAGTTTAGAAAGGATTATACATACCTTTCCTAATGTCCTCTGCAGAATCAAACTGTGAAATATACCTGTTTAAAAGATATGAACACATCAGACAAAGTGAGAAATACAACAAAAACATACTTTTAAGACATTAAGATTTCTGATATTCAGTCAAAATTCTTATAAATAACAAGAGCGATCAGTAATCACATGTGTCGCCTCATGATGGCCAATTTCATGTTGGGACAAGTTTTGTGACAGATGGACAGACAGACAGACAGTGCACAACTAGACTTGGTACTGATCATTCCTGTAAAGTTTGGATAAAATTGCACCAGTAGTTTATGAAGAGTAGTCCGAACAAGCTTTTGTGTATCTGGCAACACACAGAAAAAACACCTTTTCAAAGGGCCATAACTTGGCCAAAAATCATTCAACCGGAAAACCCGTGCAATATGCGCAAGGACTTGAGCTACAGATCAATCCTGCAAAGTTTCATTGAAAATGCATTAGTGGTATAAGAGAAGTCGTCCGGACAAACTTTAAAAATAAAAATTATTAAAGGGCCATAACTCTTATAAAAATCATTGAACTGGAAAATGCTGACAATATGCACAACTAGACTTGGTACTGATCATTCCTGTAAAGTTTGGATGAAATTGCACCAGTAGTTTATGAGAAGTAGTCCGGACAAGTTTTGTGACGGACGGACAGACGACGGAGAAGTGATGCCTATATGTCGCCACTACTCCTTTGAGGCGACACAAAAAACAATCACAAAAGAACCATTGTCATCTCCAATGAAAATAATATAATTAATTAACATTAAACATACATCTAAGCAACTGCTTTATAATATATAAAGAACACTCTTTAATTTTTATTAGATAGTAAAAACAACTTCCATTACCTTTATGATATCAGACAATACAGGGCACTGTCACAAATATTAACAAACATAATAATTTGATTTTTAAAAGATTTGCATAAAAAGATTTGCATAACTATCTAACACAAAGTTAAAATACTCACTTGATACAACTTCTTCTATTTGTCGTCCTTCTACAGACTGAAAATATATAAAAACGTTCTTGTCATCCACAAAGTATGATTAGAAGCTGGCACTTGTTGATCAGTTAAAAATCTCTGACATACCGACTTAGATAAAAAAGTGACATTACTTCTTACCTTACCAGTTTGACATCCATGGCAAAAATATCTAATCTATAAAATTGATTGAAATTGAACAAGTCCAAATATCAGCTGCCCTGCCAGATATGTACATAATGACTACATTTACACCATAAATGTTTCTAACATGTTAAAAGATCTAAACTGGCAAAATACTAGAGAAGAGATATAACATTGATCAGCTTTGTGACCCTGAGCCTCTCCTTATCAAAATATGGCACAGACTTGTGAGAGTTGACTATCATCATCTCACACCCACCAAAAACCTGAACTACTTTTGTTTTGTACCTTATAGTTCTACCATACTCAAGGACACAGTATCATTCCTTTTCATTTTTCCCTGAACTATCTGTCTGTGGAATGGTTTACCTGTGTCCTTGCAAGCTAGCCCCAGTTTAAACATCTTAACTGGACAGCTGCATCCCTTCTACCAGTTCTAAGTTAAAAACTGTTTTTATCTTTTATCTTACTCTTAGTCTTGTAGTTTCTTTATCTATATTGAAAATCCTCAGGCACTGTCAGGGATTTGAAACCTGTACCTCTCGATTACAAAGCAGTCACTCAACTATGTCGCAATAGCATTATAGGGTTAACCCAACAGCAAGCTATTGGAAATTACCTATACAGTATACCTGTAATCACTACACTTTTCTTCACTTTATTTATTAACTCAATGGCAAACTTATAGTGACAATTGGCAGCAATGCTCTTAAGAGCCTCCTCATACATTGTAATCACTGTCCATCATGACATAATGACATTGCAAAGCATCAACAGTTCAATTCAACTGTTTAGCCCCTGCAAATACTGCAACTTATGTAATTTACCTTTCCCTATTAATCCCTTAGATTTTACAGTCCGTGCTAGAATCATTCTCCTTTTAGTCTGTCTGATTCTAGTCAATTTTTAATGTCGGCAAATTACACAAGAAGCACTGTCAGTATCTGTTTTAACCTTGTCACATTTATTGAATATTGTAAACCTAAAAAAATCATCAGGTATTGACAGGGATTTAAAACCTGGATCTCATGATTACAAGACTGACACTCAACCATTTCACTGAAGTGTTAATCATACAGTAACTAAGGCTGCTGGGAAAGGCCTATATACCTGTATTCTCCAAATCATTCTATAAAACTGCACATTATAACATAACTTGCTATTCCCATGAATGATGTAGGTGGTTATTACATGACAGTAGCTCTGCAGCCTCTTCTAACAAAAAAATAATAAGTAAAATAGATACATGTGCAATCATTCAAGCAGGCTGTGATACATGCATGCAATGTATGTGTACCACTACCAGGGCAGAGTGACCTGTTATAAGGTTAAAGGTCAGTCACCAAATCATGGAAGATTAAATGAAATTGTCGTTTTCTAATCTACTATTACCCAACCTTATATATGTGAGATCACAATATGTAAATTATTCGCCATTTATTTATTTTTTTTTTCATTATTCACATAACAATAAATTTCGTAAACAACAACATAAGAATTAGAAATCTAGGTCAGAAATTAAAACTGCACATACCAATTCAAAAACATGGGATCTAGCGTTCATTATCTATTCATTTGAAAGCCCTTTCCTTCAAGTCTTCCTCTTCATTACTTTCCTTACTATATTTGTCCTAATATAGTGAATAATTTTTAGATATGACGGAGTTTCTTTGTTATTTTTTTTCTCAGCTGATCGACTTTCTATGTCGTAATTCGATATTTTATTTGTCGTAATTAAAAATGCCTAGTAAACTCAGACAAAAGTAAAACCTGAGAAATTATGATGATTAGAATAAAACTTAAAAATTGAAAAGATCTAGGATATTGTAATGTTATGGATAACTTCACTGACCGACTTTTACGACACATATGGAAACTAGGGAAAAACTACCGAAAAGATATTTTACAACCAGAATCTGTCTAGTAAGCTTTTCAGCAGAAAATGAGCTTCAGACTGCATTAAATGCTATGCTCTAGCATATTGTAATGTTTGGAATTTAAAAGTGAACTCTGCAAAAACAAAGGCTGTTATATTTTCTAGGGGCAGGAATCGTATGAAGATGCACCTCAACTTTCTTTTCATAATAAGAACTTAGAATTAAATTAGATTACATGATTTTTCTTAGTATCTAGGTATTCGATTTATGGAAAATGGTAAATTTGTTAAAACTAGAAAACGGCTTATTGATCAAGCGAAGAAAGCTATATTCTCTCTTATAAAAAGCTAGAAAATTGTTTCTATCTGTAGATTTACAGATCCACTTGTTAAACACAATGATTGTTCCTATTCTTTAATTGTTATGGCTCTGAAGTTTGGGGAATAGAAAAATTAAAGTGTATTGATCAGTTTCAGCTTAAATTTTACAAAATTATACTTAACCTCAAGCAAAGTACATTTACTCCAAATTGTATTTTATGTGGTGAACTTGGTGTTACTCCGATATCTTTGCAAATAAAAAAGTATTAAGAATTATTAACTACTGGTGTAAGCTTTTGAAGGGTAAAGATGATAAGATTTGTAATATTTTATAAAAGACTGCATACTCAGTATATGTTTGATATAGAACTGAATAACCGTGGCTTTCTTTGGTTAAGGATACTTTGGACGAACTTGATTTATCAGATTATTGGTTAAGTCAATCTGTACCTAGTCCGTTTAATTCCAAAAGTCCAGATTTCGAGATCAGTTCATCCAAAGTTGGAACAGTGATGTCCAATCTTTAAGCAAATGTTTAAACTACCGTTTATATAAACCAGAGTTTGCATTCGAAGATTTTTTAACATGTCTTCATTAATTGTCTTTATTCAGCATCGTTAAAATTTAGATGTATGAATCACAAAATGCCTATTGAGAAAGGTACATTCCCAAATATACAGAGAAATTTACGTAATTGTGTATTTAATGTCACATGTTCTCACGAACCATAACAGTATTGAATAAAATCTAAAAACTAAAAAAAATCTAAAATCTGGAATGCACTCGGAACGTCCTCGGCTATTATCAATAATAACCTCGGAGTTAATACGGATTGAAAGTAGTTCTACCGAGTGGTTTCATATGTAAACAGAAACACGGGGGGATCACGTGACTTTGTATAGTAATACCCACGAGAAAATGGCAACTGCTGAGTCCCGGTAAGTACCTTATTATGTTAAATTAAGGTGACAAACGTTTCTTAAATCAAAACAAAACCTAGCGTGTCATATGCGCGGAAATTTTCTTTAAATGACAGTACAAAGTGCATTATCCTACGTTTTTTAGTTTTTGAGAACATTGTTTGAATTGTGTGAAAATTGCACTTTCAGCGATAGTAATCTACACGAAGCGGTATAATTTGGTACCAAAATCAATGAAATTAAGCTTTTTTCTGCACTTAAGACACCAAATCAATCATTTTATTGACACCTGTTATCGTAGAAGTCCATATAAATTTTTGTTCGAAGGTCTGTAGCCTACAAATGTTCTTTGCAAGTGTATACATGTAGTAAGCAAAACGAACAATTTCTGGATAGTAAGTCGCACGAAAACAAAACAGTAAGTTTCACGCACAGTTTCCAATAGCTTACTAAAATGTGACGAAACTATTTTATAATTATTTTGGTTACCAATTTGCAAGTGTGTTCCGTCTACGGTGACAGAGAAACAAATGTCGAGAAAGTATTTTAATAATAATTCATATTATTTCATTATACATGTATTCATATTCATATAATTTCATAAAAGATTACTTAACTTAAAAAACATAAATGAGAGATTGACATTGATACTCAACAATGTGCGTTAAAAGATGAATAATCATAATAGGCGCACAATTATAGTGAAGTGAAAGAGCGCTTAGCTTTTAAAGAAGTTGAAAATTGATATGACCACAATGACGATTTGCATACCTTTTATTACAAAATATGTATGTATCTCTTTATTTTCTATATTTTCAATCAAAGAACACACAGACATATAATATACAGTATAATATTTAAACGCATGTTTCATGAGAAAAAAAAACAACACACACGGGGTAGGTAGTATCCAATCAAAGTGTCGAACACTTGCGGAAGGAAGTGAGTTAAAACTTCACCCAGTTATTTGAGATATAATAATAGCTAGGTGGTCTAGCTCTTTCCAACTGAACTGAATATGTTTTAATTACACCCATATTTTCATGATTGAGTATATATCAGATGCTGCTACTGATATATGCTCAAGCATCATGCTGGACTTTAGGTCAGCCATATTGAAATAAGATTGAATCATTATTATTTTTAATTTATTTTAAAAATTTTAAATTTTTAAAAATCTTAAATTTTTCTCATTCTGATTATGGAGTTGTGTACATAAAATGGAATTCTTGTATGGTGTAATTTTCTGTGATGTTTGTTGTAGTGTTATATTTGCTTTAAATCAGTTAGTATTATCTTATCCATATGTGCTTATAAATCTAATTTGTTTTACAGAGTCAATCATAAATCTTAATCCTTTACAAGATACAAGATACAAGATACAAGAAACTTTATTTTAAGTCGGTTTACATATTACAAGAAACATTAGCTAACAAGCCATTTACCGACAATAACAAAGGCATAAAACATATTTACTAACATATAACAGTTCTGAAAATAAAAACATATAAAACTATTAGCAGCTTTAAGCATGAAATAAGAGTATCAAGGTTAAGAAGAACTTTACAATAAGATGGTAAATTAAGGCATAGATTGATGACATGCACAGTACATATTGTATTAAAGGTAATAACAGTTTCTAAAAGTAATAAATGACTGTAGTCTATAAATTTAAGTATGATACATATAGCAATGTGAAATAAATAAAAATAATAATAAAATATAAAAAATTAATAAAATAGTAATAGTTATAAGTTAACATCTACAATTTATAAATACGTAATTGAAGGTTTCCTAAAAAAATATAAATAAATAAATAGATAAATAAAACTTACTTATAAAAGTGCATAAAAAATTATGATAGAACTAATACAGCATAAAAAAGAAACAAGATAAAGCACATACAGGGTAACAAACAAAGTTAACTAAACTTAAGTTGCATGCACAGCCTAATGGAATGGGGAATAAGGAGTTTTAATATGAACAAAGCATACAAATCATACAACAAAGATTCAACTAGTATAAAATATAGGGTTTAAGAAAAACCCAAAAATATACAGTATTTTCTTTTATACAGATTGTTTTTTTTGGTATGTTAAAGGATAGTCTGTTATGTCGGAAAATAGCTTAAATTGCTAATGTGTATATGTTTTATGTAACCCACTATAAATTAAATAAAGATTATCTTATCTTATCTTTTTTTGTACATTATCCACTCTCTTGTTTTACAAAACACGCTGTCCTTTTGACAGGTCTTGGTAATTATGGTTTACTTTCGCACGAAAAAATGTCCTTGCATCATGTTTACTGATAATGCTTTTATTTTGTTTTAACTATAACACTTGCACACATAATATGAAATGTAATGTTATGCAAAATAGTGACGAGAGTGGGGCTATTTTTATCCTTTTTAGTATTTTTATTTCTTTGGGTTAATATAAAAATGCTAGCTACTTTACGGTAATGTTGACACGAAATAAAGTTTTCGAAATTTTCATTTAATTTGTTCGTATCAATTCATTGCAATGCTTTCTGTTTTACAAGTTGGTGAAATAAGAGTTGCAGATGACTCTGACTTTCGCAAATTGAAGAATTTAGATGAAGACACAGATAATTGGAAACTGGAGTATCAGAAAAATAACACGTCAGTTTGGACCAAAACTAACGAAGTTTCCTCCTTCAAAATAGTGAAGGTAAATTTATTTTATTTTTGATGCGTCCAACAAAGGAAAGAAGTTTATTTCAAAGAATTTAATATTGTATCAATTGTCTATTAGATAGTGCTCATTTTTATTAGTTTCCCACTTAATAAATTGTATCCGCCCACACATCATGCAAGGTCTACTTTCTCTCTACTTTACGCAAAATTACACAAGTTACAGAGAAATTTCTTATCTTCTTATACAGACGCTGATAACAGAACTATTGTTCCAAGACAGTGCATGTATGGCAATATACAGTACATATACAAGAAATGGCAACACTATTATCATCTCATTGCAGACTTCCTGAAATACGTCTGTCCGACGGACATGTCCAGTAAATTATGATTAGGTCCGACGATTTTTTATTCTGGATCGGTCAGACTGTCTGGCTTTTATCCAAGTAGCATTTATACAAAATGGCATCGCTAAAAATGCCAAACCTTGGAAAAAACGAAAATCTATGTCAGAGGAGCACGTAGAACAACAATAAAAGGATGAAAAGAATAGATCTGAGACAAAATTTAATGAAAAATGGAAGCAGGACTGTGAATGACAGGGAGGAGATGAAAATGCGCTGTACTGACTGTGCCGATTTTCACGGCAAAAAAAAATAAAACTGAAAAGTGTCTTAGAAATACAAACCCAAGTTTTCCTTTGATTTTGATTAATTTTATTCAGTCTGACAGATTTCGTTTCGGTCTGACAGATTTTCATGGTATGTCTGACACTTCTTTTTAAACTTTCAGGAAGTCTGTCATTGGTAAATCTATGTGCCCCCTTCCAACTCACAATACACCAAAATGACCAATTGACAGTTTCCTATGACAGGCTATTCTTATCAGATTCTGAAAAATCTGTAACTTCAACTGCTCAGTTTTAGTATTGTTAAAACAATAATTTTCTAAATGAATAGTTTCAGATTCTATCAGGGCAAGTCCAGTACATACAGTACAGACAAGGAGGAATTCTTATGCAAATTCCTGCAAGTAATGAGTAATTACAAAAAGCGTGACTCTGAGTGGATTATAAATTTCTCATACACAAAAGAGTGACTCCGCGTCAATAACGAGTGACAATTAAGTCCGCGGGACTTCGTGAATCTCCCGAGTCAAAAAGAGTGACTCCGAGTAAATAAGACTGATTTGGTATGCTTTATTTATTTATTTATTTAATGCTCTACCTCTAAACTAAAATTCTTGAACGCATGTATTATTCATTAAAAATAAAAATGTGGTTGAAAATTCTTCGCACAAGTGAAAACGAAAGTAGACACACTTAATTCATTAATAAAAAAAGGAAAGAATAACCGATGATTTCCCGCAATTCCCATCAAAAACCTATTTAATTTAGTATTCTAAAATAGTAAAATATTGATGAGCTTCATTTTTGCCTTGTTTATAAAAATTTATAATCATAATGTAAGCAAAAAAAAAAAAGAATTGATATACATGGCAAAACAACCACGTGCCTTAGGTCGATTCATTCCATTGACATTTTATTGTAAGGGAAATTTTTTATAAAATGACATGATATAGACAGGACCATTTTTGGGGAAGGGGCTTCAGCCTTTTTCTTGGGGAAAATATGCATGATTTTGGCATATTTTGGGAAAAGGAGTCTCAATTTTAACACAAACTTTTAACAAGTTCTTCAAAATAGAAAAGCAAAAATCACTGGGAAATACTAATTAGGCAGTAAAAGACCTTAATTTAACACCTTCATTTAAATTTGTTCTGAATTCTATGGGAAATTTAAAAAGACTGGGGAATTTTGAGGACCAAACTGGGGAAAAAAAGAGGCTAGTTTGGTTGGGGAAGCAGCCTATATTCGGCCTCTACAAAGAAGGGTTTTTTGGCCCTGATAGATGATGTACATAACCATAAACAAATAAAGTAAAAATAAAAAAAAAACAAGCAAATAAAATGATCATTTTATTCTTTGCTGTTTTTATTTTTTGTTAATCTTTGTAGTGCTGATTACACCTGAAGGTGAATGAATTATGGGAGAAGCGCACTAGGTTAGTTGAACGGCCTCTGTCAACTTGTCAACTCTTCTATAACTCTTGAATTCCTCTATAATGCCTGAAATAAAATAAATCAACAACTACAAAAAAAAATTAATTTCTTAATGATCATCACAAGACAATTTACTTTTGTTTCCAATATCAACATACATCTACGTATGACTTTGATAATAGAATGAGATCAACAGATTTTCGGAGATATTCTTGGAATAAAATTAAAACAATATATTACTAAACATGCAGCTTTATTTAGAAACCAATAAATCAAAGTAAATTCTCAAAAATTATATATAAATCAGGTGTCTTCTAATTAAAATAAATGTTAAAAATGGCGGACGTGACAGGTTGACACATAACTAAAATACATGTAAACAATGGATGTATCAAGAAACGTACATGCATCATGACAATTTTTAAAACCATACAAACCAAGTATCTTTTATTTTATAAAAGTTGGGAAAGTTAATTTTTTTTATGTGCACATGTTATCAATGATTAGAATATTATGAAAATCGAAACTCATTTTCCACATTGAAAAATAACACAACACAATATTTAATTACAACGTAATCGTTGGCATGTTAATGGTATTTGATTCATTTAGAAACATTTACATCTAAAAAATACGATAATGTATAAATAAACAAACAAAAAATATAAAATTTCATAAATTGATTATTTTCGTCAAAAGGAAGTTGTAGGTTTTTTTCTCGAGGAACTGTCACAGTGATTTAATAGGACAAGAAAGACATTTAAAGATTAATGAAGTTTAATCTGTTTATATAATCTGAATTATTCTTATTTCAAAGTTTTTTTAATCGTTTTTTGTTTTTGATAGAATTTCAGGTTTTTGTGGTTATTGCTACTGACCTAATTAATCGGGATAAAAATAAACTGGATAACTGATGACGCTTACGGTAGTGTTTTTTCTAATCAAATGTACCTTTCAACTGTTTCACGGTAAATTGAAAACAACAACAGTAAAACTCATCTTTATTTTCGAATGGTAATCTAAAAAAAAAAATATAAAATGAGATTGCACTTGCATTTATTTACACCAGCTAGACACCGACACGGAGTTACGCGGTAATACTCTCTTGGGGTCACACGCTGTTATTTTCGTCTCGGAGTCGCTCTCATCACACGTTTCTCACGCGGAGTCACTTGTTTTTATGGACAAATACTCTCGCGGAGTTGCGAGTGGATTCCTCAATCCTTTGAGGATTTTGCATATTCCTCGTTATCTGTACTGTATAAGTACATGGATATACATGTGTGTATAAAGGTAGGGTTATCATTGATGTGTCATCTATATTTTTCTGTCAATCGATCATTGATTTAGAATGTCCAGAAATTATGAAAGTTCATCCTAAACATATACACAGGCAGGTGGACAAGTCTTAAACTAAGCTGTTGTTAAGAAATGGACATATTTCACAGCAGTGATAACATAAAATATTCAATAACAAAAAAAAAATACAAGGGACATCTGTAAACAATACTACTGATCATTGTATTCACAGAAAGTGTGCATGATGAACTTTATTGAAGTAATGAAAACGGGTAAGGATTTGAAATATGGATAAGTAATACTTATTGTTGAAATTTGTCATAAGATATTAATATATGCCAGTATGCTTTTGACTGAATCAGTGACAGCTCTTGTTTAAGAGTGAAAAAAAAAATTATGACAGCATCACATCATTAATTCTTGGATAATTCTTGTAGCTCCTTGTCATAAGTTAGTCTTTTACATGCAGACACGAGACTGTTAGATATACAAAATGAGCTGCGCCACGACAAGACCAACATAGTGGTTTTGCGACCAGCATGGATCCAGACCAGCCTGCGCATTCGCGCAGTCTGATCAGGATCCGTGCTGTTCGCTATCAGTTTCTTTACTTGTTATAGAGTTTGTAAGCGAACAGCATGGATCCTGATCAGACTGCCCGGATGCACAGGCTGGTCTGGATCCATGCTGGTAGCAAACCCATTATGTTGGTTTTGTCATGACTCAAATGTACATAGTCTAGAGCTAGTTTCCTTATATTGCTAAATTTACCAGACGCTATTCTTATGTTCCAGGTTAGGACAACATTTGATGACATAGCTGGTGAAACATTGTATGATGTTTTACATGATCCTGAATACAGGAAGGCATGGGACCATTCTATGCTGGAAGGATATGAAATCTGTGCTATTAATCCAAACAACGACATTGGTTACTATGCCTGTAAGTCTTTACCAAACTTTTTATAACAAAATATGCTTTTCTCTAACCAGTGTTTTGATGTATAAGTTTATTTTTAAGGAGTTTGCTTGTATGTATTTCAACCTGATAAGATATGTTTTGAGTATGACAGTAGTAGTTTGTCCATTTGCAATTATTATTCTAATTAAAATGTTGAAGACAGCTTACAATACAAATTTTGTCCAAATCAGAAATGTCCTGAATCATATTGGTTTGTGCATACCATTAATGGATTTTTGGGCCAAGAATTTAATCATATAGGTGACATGAATATGATTCAAAATGACAACTTTTAAATTAAAATCTTCATTGATTATACATGTACAAAAATAACATCAAAGGTAAATTTAAATTATGTTTTTGTTAGCAGATGGTTATAGATATGTATGTAAAGTATATCTCATCTTGAAAAACCATTAAAAGAAAAAAAGAGGAAACATCAGATTTTGATTGTTTGATTTATTTGTTGATGTTTATATAGGGTTTTTGTCCCCACACCTTTTCGAGGAAAAAAGGCAGATATAGAAATGGGCTCCATTTGTCTGTCCACACTATGGAATAGGGATATAGGGCCATCTAACTGTAAACAGAACAAAAGAGAACAATAGAGTTCATTCTGTAACAATAGAAAAAGGGGCCATGGCCCTCTATTAAACAAAAGAAAATTACAATAGAAATGGCCCTTTATCCCAATTAGGTCTCACATTTGTCTGTCTGTCCATCCGTCACACTGTGTCAAGTCCATATCTAAGCCATTCATTAAAGTGTTAATATTTTGGCACAAATGTTTGTTATGATAAGACAATGTATCATCATGTGCACTATCCGGACCCCTACCTCCTAGGTCAAGGTCACTCTTTGAGGTCAAAGCTTAACATGGTCTGTTATACATGTAGGGTAAATTTTGTGTCAGGTCTATAACTTTTATAGTTCAAGGGTTTTTGAAATTACTTTGCACAAATGTTCACAATAATGAGACAACATGCTGTGTGCAACACCCTGATGTCTACCTCCGAGGTCAAGGTCACACTTTGAGGTCAAATCTTGGTCTGTAACAGGTTATGATGCAAAGTCAGACCCAAGCAAATAAATTGTCATTGATGAATTACCCACATACCTTGATGGATGAAATTTTAAGACCTGATACAAAATATACTCTGTAACAGACCATGCCCTGTATTGATTTTGTATTTGTGAGTCAGTGACATTTTGTGGTTTTTAAATGGTAATAACAACTATTCAAATGAATTTCTGTTGACACATACACATGAGTTACTTCATTCTATTTCTTTAATGAATTTATTGTTGCATTGTATTGATCAAGATTTTGCAAGGAAAGTCCAGATCCATACCTAAATCTTTTGAAAAGCACAAGTTTGTGCTTCATGTAAAACTTTCCCTAAGCGGGGGACATTTGTAACTCTGTTACAAATGCTTGTTTTCTTTGCAGTGAAGAGTCCACCACCTTTAAGAAACAGAGATTTTGTTACACAGAGGTCATGGTTAGATATGGGAAAAGAGAAGTGGATCATCAACCATTCTGTAAACCATGAGGTGGGTCTATTAATGCCTTCCTTTTTAAAGAAGGGGAGAAAATGTTTTGTTTTTTTATGTCTTTTAGCCCTTACCACCCTTAACATCTTAAATGGACTTGTCCATCTTTTATTCTAGACAAAGCCATTCATTATTTTCAAGGAAAAATAAAAAAGAAGCAGTAAATAAATGGTTGACAGTGCCGGCTGATCTTGGTCTGTATTAGTCACATGAAGTAGATTCAGTTGCCAATAGCAATAAATAGATTGGACAGGTTGTACAGTTTTTAAGGCTTTGTGTTGATTTTGTTTTTGATTTTGTTAAGAGACATCAAGGTCATTACAAGTATCAATCTTTTTGTCATGATAATCTGTGGTCAGCAGTAGACCTTTGTATTCCAAACATGTTAGAAAAAAACGATTTTTTGTATATTTTGGTTCATTCATAGTTGATAATTGATTTATTCTTCGAATCATGATCTTATAAACAGTAAGCTGAGATCATGTTTGTTTGCAGTAACAGCTGTACTGAAAATGTCTCTTACAATCTATATGATAATGAAATAGTCAGTTATCTACGTTATTTTTTTTTAGATATTGATCATGTAAAAATGTTCAGTTGTTTAATACCTTTATTATTTACATAATTTTTGAAATATACATTGTTAGTTTGATTAAGGACCTGATCACACATTTCTGTGTCATATTTTGATCTTTTTTTGTATGAATAACCTATTGTGTTACTAATACATATATTGTTTCATTCAAACATTTGTGATTTATTAAGGCCAAACTTTAACAAACAAGCAATGAGAAAATTCAATCTCAGTACCTGAACAGTCAAACTTATTCATGTAAGATGCTTAATGAAAACATGTTTTCAAATGAAAGAAGAAAGTTTGCCAAAAAGAAATAATTTTTGCACGATCAAATATTTGCGAATAATTTCAATTTGCAAAAATCGCAAATATTTCCACATTGCAAAATTAAACACTTGTACAGTAGTAGGGAGAATACTCTGTTACAGTTAATCTCATTCATATTAAAAGAGAACATTCTAAATATTAATACTCTTCTTTATAAAGTTTAGTTTGATAAATGTCACATATTGTTAAACTGCTGAAACAAATATGCCTTAGTAAATACATGTACCTAATTTCCCATGTATTATTTATTGAATATTGATATTTTGTATATGACATTTAATAAAGTATTTTGACATTTTCTTCTTGAATATTTCAGAGTGTTCCACCAAGGAAAGGTTATATACGTGGTATTTCATACTTGACTGGTTATCTAATTAGACAACAGGGACAGAATAAATGTCAGTTTACATATGTGTCCCAGTCCGATCCTAGAGGTAAATATGTATACTAGATTATTGTAATTGTTGGTAAACATAATTAGATATATAAATACATGTTTATGTCTGTCATATTCTGTTACTGACTTGACATAGTAAGTATTCTTTGACCAGTTTAATGAGTCATGAGGACAATCGGGGAAGGGGGGAGGGAAACTCATGATAATATTGAATACATTTTACTCAAACCCTTTGTAAACTTGATGACTAGGTTTTTGAAATTGTTTATCATATTAATACAATTAAATATTAATTAAATTGAATGAAACATGGTTATTATAGGATTTTTAGTTACAATAGTATCAGTTTTAGCTTTATAAAATATTTTGAAGAATATGACCAATTTAAGGTTAGCTGAATGTGTTAATTCATATATTTTTTATGAAAGAGGGTGAATGTAGACCATGATGAAGCTATGTTTATATTCTTGTTGTTCTGTAAGAATATTTTGATAATGATCTGTGACTTGAAATGTCCTCAGTTTCAAGCATTACCCTCAGTCTGAATAGGCTCAAAATTAAATATCTTATTGGATCTAATCATTGGATCTTGATTGGCCTATTCACAAAAACCACAAAAATGTACCCAGCAAATACAATGATTTTTCAGTGACTTGAATAAGTTTACATAAAGATACACTGACATGTTCCACTAGTACTGGCAGCATTGGTTGGGCAGTTAATATTTATCTTGATCTAAAATTAATGATGGACAGTTTAAAAAAAGAAAGCCAATGATCTTATAATATTAATTTCTAAACATGTATACATATTTTCAGGTAAATTACCTGTCTGGGTTGTGAACAAAGCAACAAAGATACTTGCTCCAAAGGTACTAAATTTTGTCAAATTTTTAAATAACAAATACAAATTTAAGAAACTGAATCTTTACCCAATGTAATATATTTGTTTTACTTAAGGTATCTGTAACAGAATTTGTTTTGAAAGAATAATATTTTTGGCTTGATTTTGAATATTTAGATTTATTTGTTATTAAAAGATATACATTGTAAGCATGTCTTGATATTATGAAATATTGTGCCATCACTAGGTTATAAAAATATTGATTTAATCATAATTAGGTCATATAATTCTGATATTGTAGAACTTCGGGGGGGGGGGGATATTGATTATAAATGAAAAAATGAATGACTTGTATTGATTTGAAATTATAGAAGTTCCTTACCTTGTATAGGCTAGCACTTTTTGGCAGTTAAGGTGGCCAAAGCCAAGTCTTCATTTCCCTAAATGAATGAAAATTATAGTTACTTTATAGACTGTTGTATCTGAAAATAAATGTTCTTATTTTTTTCAAACTTATTACTAGATTATAAGCCGTATCCAGAAAGCATGTAAAGGCTATCCCAGCTGGAAGTCCAAAAACAATCCCCACCTGAAACCGTGGATGTTCCCGGAACAGATGACTTTACCACGTCTAGACATGTCCCAGATTAAACCGTTAGCTGCGGGAGTCTCATCTGAGTCGCTGGACGAGAGTGGTATCAACGAAGACGAGGTTGATGCTGAAGAATATGTTAATGATTAATATTTAGGCAGTTTTAGGGTTTATAATTTAGTTTTCTTCTTACTGTTATCCCTTACCACATAGACTGAAAGATTTACCCTTTGATTCTGTGTGACTGTGAAATTATTATTTTTTTTTAAATTTAAGATGACTAGAAATAAATGTAGTATTATTATGCCCCCCTTCGAAGAAGAGGGGGTATATTGTTTTGCTAATGTCGGTCTGTCTGTCTGTCTGTCTGTCTGTCTGTCTGTCGGTCTGTCCGTCCGTCGGTAGACCACATGGTTTCCGCTGATTATCTTGAAAAGTATTTATCACAAAGTCTTCATATTTTACATAGTGATTGGTCATAACTAGTAGATGACCCCTATTGATTTTGGGGTCACTAGGTCAAAGGTCAAGGTCACAGGGACCTTAAATGTCAAAATGGTTTCCGCTGATTATCTTAAAAAGTATGTATCACAAAGTCTTCATATTTCACACAGTGATTGGTCACAACTAGTAGATGACCCCTATTGATTTTGGGGTCACTAGATCAAAGGTCAAGGTCACAGGGGCCTTAAATGTCAAAATGGTTTCCGCTGATTATCTTGAAAAGTATGTATCACAAAGTCTTCATATTTCACACAGTGATTGGTCATCACTAGTAGATGACCCCTATTGATTTTGGGGTCACTAGGTCAAAGGTCAAGGTCACAGGGACCTTAAATGTCAAAATGGTTTCCGCTGATAATCTTGAAAAGTATGGATCACAAAAGTCTTCATATTTCACACAGTGATTGGTCATAACTAGTAGATGACCCCTATTGATTTTGGGGTCACTAGGTCAAAGGTCAAGGTCACAGGGACCTTAAAATGTGAAAATAATTTCTGCTGATTATCTTAAAAAGAATTCATCACAAAGTCTTCATATTTCACATAGTGATTGGTCATAACTAGTAGATGACTCCTATTGATTTTGGGGTCACTAGGTCAAAGGTCAAGGTCACAGGGGCCTTAAATGTCAAAATGGTTTCCGCTGATTATCTTGAAAAGTATGTATCACAAAGTTTTCATATTTCACATAATGATTGGTCATCACTAGTAGATGACCCCTATTGATTTTGGGGTCACTAGGTCAAAGGTCAAGGTCACAGGGACCTTAAAATGTGAAAATGGTTTCCGCTGATTATCTTGAAAAGTATTCATCACAAAGTCTTCATATTTCACATAGTGATTGGTCATCACTAGTAGATGACCCCTATTGATTTTGGGGTCACTAGGTCAAAGGTCAAGGTCACAGGGGCCTTAAATGTCAAAAGGGTTTCCGCTGATTATCTTGAAAAGTATATATCACAAAGTCTTCATATTTCACCTAGTTATTGGTCATAAGTATTAGATGACCTCATTGATTTAGGGGTCATTAGGTCAAAGGTCAATGTCACATGGGCCTTAAGTGTCAAAATGGTTTCCGTTGATTTTTCCATAATTGAACACTTCCATGTACCCATTTTTGGCAAGTTTCTTTAATAAAATTACCAATTATGTGAGTCAATGGCTAGAAAGGGGGGTATATGTGTCGTTCGACATTCTTGTTATTTACTGGAATGCAATTCTGGATAAGAAAAGGAATGTGGCAATTATCTGACTCATGGTTTCTAGTATGGATACTAAAAGAAAAAATGAGTTAAAAATAAAAATACTTGTCACATCTGTAATTGGTGAATTGAAATCTGCATGAACAAGTTAGTTATAAATACAATTTTTGTTGATATTTTAACATATGTACTTCTTCTCATTTTATGTATGGGATATATTCATGTCCAGAATTTTGTAAGAAAATTATGGAATGTGAATAATATTTGGATTTTTTTATATATCAGATATATGTATAAATTGGAATGATAAGCTGAATTAAGCTTCAAATAGCTTTAAATTGTTGCTCAGATAAGATCACTGTCTGTCTTAGAATGATCTTTAGACCAAGCAGGGTTTTTTTGTGTGTCTAAATGTATATCAAATCAGATTATTAAAAATGGGTATTTCTTTCAGTCTATTGGTTAAGAATAAGATCTTGCATGTAAAAAGATTGTCCAAAATGTCATGACTGAATTGTGATGTCTTAAATGAACTATGATGTCTATGATGTCATGAATTAACTGATGTCATAAATTAACTATGATATCATAAATAAATCATGTCATAAATACTACATGTATATCATGATGTAATAAATGAACTATGATGTCATGATTGAATTATGATATCATAAATGAATTATGATGTCATAAATGAATTATGATGTCACTTAAATTAATTATGATGTCATAAATGAACTGTAATGTCATCAATTAATTATGATGTCATAATTGAACTATACAGTCAAACTTAATAATAACATCATCTCTTGAATGTGTACAATAAATGTTAAAAATTTGTTGAAATTTCCACTATCCTTTCTCCATTTAGAAGCAGGGTTTCATAAATTGTTTTGAGAAATCTCTTTTAAGTCAATATATATTTTATTATATTTCTTAAGAGTGGGCATGCCATACAAGGTTTGACTGTACTTTTAGTCATATAAGTACTTGAAAATGAAGTACGAAAAAAAAAAAAAGAGTTATAATTACATAACTGTGATATTAGTAATGTAATATGCGAAAGGAAATGGATATTTTTTGTGAGGAGTAAATGTTATTTTTCTTTGATAAAAAGAAACTTGGATAAACTAGAATTGTAGTAACTAGAATAGTTATAGCACTGGAAAGTTTGGATACATATATAATCATTAGTAAAAAATTTTTTATGACAATCTTAATAATGATAGCACATATAATACTTTAAACTTCTTGACACATCGGGTTGAATATATTCATACACATTTAGAATTTTACTATATATTATCACAAGAAAACCAAATTTTTAACTTTTTTTCTAAAATAGCTAATATCCCGTAGGAATGTTTCAAAGCACTTGTCAACAACCTCTCATATATTCCAATTAGAGTGACTAGGATTTGTTTTGCTTTCAAAACTGTGATCTAGAGCAATATGGAGAAGCTCAAAAATTGTTTAAACCATTTCAGTTATTCAAGGGGAACAACTCAATTATATGATTTCTTCAAGGGGAACAAATCATGTATTTACTTTGTTGTTAACATCATGATTTAGGTTAATCTGTCATTTAGTTGAAAAGATTGATTTATATATACTTATAACTTTACTTAATTGTATTAGTTATTTATTGTTTACGAACTTACTAAGTATTTTGTAAGTTTTGCTTGTTTAACTTTTTTATGAAAAACTTTAACCATGCCAGGCTGTTATAAAATCTGTGAAAAGGGACTGAAGTTAAATTGATAAACTGATTTCATTTTATTATCAATCTTCCATTTAGATTAGTGCCATAGTTGTTTTTCTTTCTTTCATTTTCTATTAAGAAATGGTTTAACTTCTCTGATTTAATTTTAATAGTAAAATCTGCAAACTTAAATTCAGGAAATGCAATTCCAATATTGTATAGATTATAGGATATTTTTCAGAATCACAGTTATTTGTCATCAATTAAAACAATTTTGGGTGATGTAAAGATTTTTTCACATGCTCTGTCTTGAATAATTTAGTAATTTTTTATATGCCCGAAAGAATTTCGGACATATTATGTTATACCCCCTGGCGTCCGTCCGTCCGTCCGTCCGTTAGCAATTTGGTTTCCGGAGCATAACTTAAGTTCCATTTGGCCCACAATATTCAAACTTCATAGGATGATTGTCCATATTGAGTAGAAGACCTCTATTGATTTTGGGGTCATAAGGTCAAAGGTCAAGGTCACTATGACCTTAAAACTGAAAACGTTAGCAATTTGGTTTCCGGAGCATAACTTAAGTTCCATTTGGCCCACAATATTCAAACTTCATAGGATGATTGTCCATATTGGGTAGAAGACCCCTATTGATTTTGGGGTCATAAGGTCAAAGGTCAAGGTCACTATGACCTTAAAACTGAAAACAGTTTCCGGAGCATAACTTAAGTTCCATTTGGCCCACAGTGTTCAAACATCATAGGATGATTGTCCATATTTTGTAGAAGACCCCTATTGATTATGGGGTCACAAGGTCAAAGGTCAAGGTCACTATGACCTTAAAACTGAAAACAGTTTCCGGAGCATAACTTAAGTTCCATTTGTCCTACAGTGTTCAAAACTTCATAGGATGATTGTCCATATTTGGTAGAAGACCCCTTTAGATTTTAGGGTCACAGGTCAAAGGTCAAGGTCACTATGACCTTAAAACTGAAAACAGTTTCCGGAGCATAACTTAAGTTCCATTTGGCACACAGTGTTCAAACTTCATAGGATGATTGACGATATTGGGTAGAAGACCCCTATTGATTTTGGGTTCACAAGGTCAAAGGTCAAGGTCACTATTACCTTAGAACTGAAAACAGTTTCCGGAGCATAACTTAAGTTCTATTTGGCCCACAGTGTTCAAACTTCATAGGATTATTGTCCATATTGGGTAGAAGACCCCTATTGATTTTGGGGTCACAAGGTCAAAGGTCAAGGTCACTATTACTTAGAAATTGAAAACAGTTTCTTGAGCATAACTTTAGTTCCATTTAGCCCACAATATTCAAACTTCATAGGATGATTGTCCATATTGGGTAGAAGACCCCTATTGATTTTAGGGTCACAAGGTCAAGGCCACTATTACCTTAAAACTGAAAACAGTTTTCGGAATATAACTTAAGTATCATTTGGCCTACTGTGTTTAAACTTCATAGTATGATTGTCCATATTGGGTTAAAGACCCCTCATGATTTTGGGGTCACAAGGTCAAAGGTCAAGGTCACTTTTACCTTAGAATTGAAAACAGTTTCTGGGACATAACTTAAAAGTTCCATTTGGACCACAATATTGAAACTGCAAAGGAGGATTGTTATTTGAAGGAGGTAATACTTTATTTTAGTCCCATGTCTTACAAATGCTTCATCTTTACTAAAAAAAAAACCACTTTCGGGCATATAATGCTCCGCCTAGCGGTGCTCTTGTTTATTATAAAGTATAATTTTTCATTTTGGTGTTAACTGTACTCATTTTATGGTCCTCTTTTATTATGAAATATATTTAGACACAATGTCAATCAGTTGTATAAGAGAGGTTAGGCAAAATATTGCTAATTTTGATAAATTAA